GACAATTTTATTACCACTTTGGGAAATTTTCATACTCATATTCCAAGAAATGGATTTTATACAAATTTTTAAAACTTAATCGACGAAAATTACAAAATTCGAAAAAATTGTTGATCATTTCAAAAATTTATTTCTCAAGAACTAAGTGATTTTTTAAAACGGCTTTTTGCATTAAAAAGAGGATACTTTAATTAATAATCAAAAGTGATAACAGCGACAGTTCTGTTAGCAATGAATGTGATGATGAATTATAAGCGAAGAGCAGTTCAGAAGCTGGTTGTTTCTTATTCCAAACGATTTAGCAAGCAACGTGGAATTAAATGGAACTAAAAAGTCAAATCATTAAGACGGGTACGGTTTGTTTTTGCTTATTTCTGGTCTACGTTTCTGAAATAATCCAATTACTGACTACAAAACCCGTTCAATAACCCAATCAACTACATAAAGAACCTCGTTTTCACTTCGTGTATATCATAATGAACGAATTTATTACGCTTAATTTATCCCTTCAAATTAACCCCACTAAACGAAAGAAAAAGGGTGGATTAAAAGTTCTTTCTACTCAAATAGGTACAAGTTTTTATTACCAAGGCACCGTTTAAAGATTTATGCACTATAAAATGAACGATCCTCATAAATAGCGAACAGGGTAACGTTTTAATACCGTTCAATTTAATAACGACTTAAATGCCGAATATAGTGACCTGCTTATTAGCGTTTTCCCCATTTAGTCGTTGAAAATTAAAGGTACTTAAAAGATGAAATGCTGAAAAGTTGGAAACTAAATTTCATCGCGGAATTTTGGTCGTCGTACATCGTGTGCGCATAAATAAAATATTCTTCGAGAGTATAATGGAGCAACAGATGGGGACGCTTTAAATCGAGAGCACCGGAGCTAAATTGCATAGTGTGTCTAAGTGACCCGTTGAACTAGTGACAACGAAGGTTCTACACGCAGTGATGAGCTCCAATAATTTAAACCCAACATTAATGTCGTACTTGACCGAGTTTAAAATAACTAGTGCAAGTTATGTTTTTACTTAATTTTGCTTTATAATTGGTAAGCAAGAAATGAACATAATTGATGAAATTACTTACGTGCTTTCCTACAATTTCTGCACTTTTCATCATTTTGCAAGAAATTAATTTAACTTAGATTTTTAAATGCAAATAGTTTTGGTATTTGCATTTAACAATAATAATTTTGCCCTATTTAATTCAATTTTAGTTTCTACTAAAAACAATGTTTGCGATTCATTCTATGCAAAAATATTCCAAATTAATTTGGCAAACAAAAAGCTTAATTGGTGCATAGTTTGAAACAAAGAAATAATATAAATATAGTGATGTAAACTGTATTAATTTACACAATTGTGAATTTAGATCAATTTCAAAAAAAAAAACAAACGCAATTTAATTTTATTGCAGAATTTGAGCAAATAAATTACTTGTTGTTTAAACAAAACATTTTCCATCTCAATCGAAAATATATTCACTCAGAAAGCAATTGTAAAATGTTTACTCAATATCGATTTTACTATGCAAATACTCTTTCACGATACTCGAAAAAGATTTACACTCACTTTTCCACGGAATAAAAATGTTCGAGTGAATGTTCACGTATATTTTTAACGTAAAATGAACTTACACGGGAATGATTTCTTTTACATACATTTTCCACCGTGTTTTGATTAAGAACGAAACAAAAATAGTGTAGGTACAGCTTCATGATATTGATCATTTTGAAACAAGTCTCGTTTAAATTGTGTTAATGTTATCTTAACACAAACTTGATTGTTTTAAAACCTTTATTAAATTTCGGCTAAGTATTTTAGATAAGAGAAAACAATTTCCGTGGGTTCACTCTGCGTGAATTACTAGGTTCCCAGGTCTATTTTACGATGTCTTAGGTAATTATCTTCTTTCTTGGTAAACTATTACAACAAGAGTGTAGACGACATTAACTTTAATTAGTAGTAGCGTACCCAAAGGCTTTGTTTGTTCTAATGGGTATGCTTAGGTGGTGGTTCTGACATAATCAATTTATAATCCATTAGATTCATTTATATTTGTATCAAAAATTCGTAAATCTCGTATTCGATTGAGATACTACGTGCATGTCGCAAATGCAAATGTTTCAATTACGGTTTTGCAAACTCGTAATTGTTGGTTACAAACTCGTCGGTTGTATTTTAGTATTGCAGCATGATTTAAAAGTACTTAAAAGTTCCGATTTAAAAATTAAATTGGATTCCAAAAATTTATTTTTGCATTTTGTTTGCACATAATTAACAAATTTAAACGTGCAATAATAATTTAGTTTTTACTAAATCAGTATTAATTTATTTTATTAGTTATAATTTTAACAATTTTCGAATTCACGTAGTGTGCTACAAATGGATATAATGAATCATGAATATTCGGTGAGTTTTAATATAGTAGAGATTTTTTTTTTGAGTGTAGAGATTTTAATATTAATAACAACAATATTATTTGAGTGAAAAAATAATATTTTTAATGGTTATTCAACTTCGAACTTTGATTGGGTACACACAGAGTGGTCCACTTAAAACGGTTACGAAATAGATTTAAGATCTAAATTAAACTAAAAGTGATAACACGGAACTTGTGAACAAAAACGTTTGTTATTAAATAATCGATAATATAAAACAACCTGGCGCCATTACCCACTCTTTGTGACTGTTCTTTTAGTTATGCATTATCTTGTTTTTGTTCGCTAACGATAATGTAAAAAAATTTGAAAGAGCAACTTTAAATTGCTACGAAATTGGAAAAGGCAAGATATATTTCAGGATTTTTTTTGTTACTATGACTATTACTATTTTAGTAGCCGAACTTGTTAAAAACTCATAAAGATCATGAACATATCTGTTAAGTATGCCAGTTTCAAAATTTTTAACACAATTTTTTAGCTCTTTATCTATCATTTACAAAAACTTGAAGTTCATGTCCATGTTTAACAATTGTTCGATAATTGTCAGATACCTTTCTGGAACCTTTTTTGTGGAGTGAGACATATATCAGTTTAGACTAGTCTTCAGGCATAATATATTCTGTAGTGCAGTTATCATTCCCCTGATGATTTACAAGGTTTTAATTTTCTGAGTGCACTTACTCTATTCTTTGTTGTTGGTCGTCTCGGTTGCTGTTTATTGACATTACTTGCTTGCAGTAATTTTTCCATCTTTCTTTGAGCTGAGATTTGTCACCATACCATCTTAAGATCTTATTGCTCGCTGTTTCGGAGTGAAGCTGCGCATTTTCAGTCTAATTTTCTTGAATACTGAGGGTTTCGTTTTTGTGTATTATTCTATTTGTAATCGAAAGAAAGTAAACCATACTTTCGGAAACACTGCTTTAGATCATGAAAGTTTATGTTTATAAATGCGATATTAATTGGTTAATTTGTTTATAAAATTTCTTACTATTTATTAGATAATGTCATGCGATAGTATCCACTTTCAAATCAATTAATTACATATACGTTATAAACTTTATCCAATACCTGATAAAAATGATGGGCGTAAAAAGTAACGTTGTACTCATTGGCCATATGGACAGAGCTATCATTACGAGTTACATCAAAATGAAATATAAATTTATTGCACATAGCCTCTTTTAATTATAATAAACTCTCCCTTTTTACGTTTATTAATGAGAAAGCAATAATAATGATGATACAAATCAAGCAATAAAATAAATAATGTGGATAAGAAATAAACGCTGATAAGTATTTCATATTTGTTTGTATATTCCGTAATAGTCACATATGGTACAATACGAAATAATCATTATGATATAGGTTTAATTGAATTAATTGCAAATGACTATTTATTAATACTAATATTATTAACGTGGCTTTCTTAATGTCATTTTTTTAAAATAAAATATAATCGTGTAACAGTCAAACCGCCATTAAATATTGACGTTCGCTGACAACATGGTCCACTTCCGTCTATCGATTTTATGGTGACCGGAAACGTGACCAATTTTGGGAGTTCATTTCATGAATCTATTATACTCGAAAAGTCTCTATTCACAAATTCTCTTATACGACAATGGATGAATAACGACTATAATAAAAATTTGATGTCTCAAACGTTTCATTTCTTCGATCTTTATGGAAACGTTAACTTTACGGATAATTAAAAGTAAATTACTCTCTTTTAATATACCGAATTCATAAATAAAAACGAGCATACAATAAAAAAAAAAACGTATTACATGGATCTTTTCTTTTTTATTATTTCTCTTGAAATATGATTGGAAACTCTGACCGAGACTTTGCGAAAGGGTTCGTGTTTTTATAAAGGTTCCAACATACTCTTTGAAAAGTTAGTAAGTAATCCGTTTTCAAGGTTTCTACAAAGGTTACTCATAAATTTTAAATGCTTTCATAAATGGGTTACTTTATTTACGGTGATAATAAAACTATATAAAAATAAATTCTTTTTTTGTACGTTATAAAAGTCCACAGTATTTGTTGTAACACATTACAAACTTTATAGTTCTTAAAGTATACAAAACAATACGAACGTGACGACTTGTCAATATCATTAACACGCAATGTTGAAATAGCTGACTCGTGCGAGTAATCTAGACCAAGATGAAAATCTAAAAAAGTTTTCTTGCAAAAAATTTTGTTCAAAAATGTCTAGGTTAAACTTTTTATTAGTTTTGAATACTTTTATAATTATACATAAAACATGCGATCAAATACACGAAAACTTTATTATTAGAGATATGTATTATCGAAAACAAAAAAGAATTCCATTACTTGTAATTATCTATAATATAAATACTTCAGATATATATCTTTACAGAATAAAACATGTTCAAGAGGACAGCCTCTTTGATTATGTTAACTGATCTGAATCACTTGACATAACTTAATTTGCATTTAAATGACTGCTATATCTGTGTTTATTTTTAATCGAGGACATGATTAATTTATTAATTAGATATTATTATTTTCGCAGGATTTACTCGACATGAATGAAAGCAAACGACTTCAAGAAAAAGGGATAAGGGAACAACGAGAACATTGCTATATTAATTATGGACCTGGATCTCTATCGAATAGCACAGCTGCTATATTTAATGAAACTACAGGTAAAGTAAATCGTATTTAAATATGTCAATTTTAAAGTGTTAGTCATTCTACGATTATCATTCTATTATTTATCACATGATGTCATTTTATTTCTGTCAATTACTTAGACGTATTTCTGACCAAATTTATCCAACCATATACAAAACGCATTATATTTAGAAATAGCATTAGATTCAGAACATTGTTACGATATTGAGTGGTTTGTTGAACGAACCAGACTAAATCGGCGAATCGTCAGTTTTCTGCCTGTAATATAACTTGAATGCTTGAGGTTCAGATCTCCAGCCAGAAACACTGTTTTCGTGTTATCAACTATATGACCGTCGTTAGACCTATGATCACATACGGAGCGACAAACTGGTATAGGAAAGCTCGACAGACTTCAATTATCACTAAACTTTCACGAATTTAACGAGTAGCTGGATTGACAATCTCTGGTGCGATAAGCACAACGCCAACTCTAGAAATGGAGGTTCTGCTTGGCCTATCTCCTTTGTATTTGCATATAGAGAAGGTGGCCAGAACAATCATTTACAAGTTCAAGCAATATGTATAAAACTGCTCCGACATGTACTACCAATGGGCTGCGGAAGACACTATAAGCACTGATATTGTGCTGTTAGATGATGTTAGATTTTACGGGATCACTATCAGTGATTAATGCATGTTCACAGATGGATCAAAAACGCTGGAAGGGGAAAAAACTGCCACACACTTCGAATTAAGCAAGCTTACAGCCTGGGTACGTACTGTACTGTATTCCAGGCGGAAATATTTGCTATGTCAATAGCTATACCTTCTTGAGAGAAGGGTGAAGAACATGACAGTACGATTTTTCTCACACAGTCAAAGAACATTAAACACACTGAGTTGTAATAACAGAGTTTCTCTGATCTGGGTACCAGGTCATTCTCAGGCACGAGAGGGCAGCGCTAAAGCGTTGCTAGGGCCAGAGCCAACAGTTGGTATATCATTTGCGAAGACCAAACATAGGATTGGACTATGGGCTGAAGAGAGACTTCGCCTATTGTGGACCAATTCTCCTGGAATGAGACACGCTTAGTTGTTTGTCAATAGCGCCACTATCAAACCAGGGAATATTTTAAGACTTGCACGAGGCAGCATTAAAGTTCTTTACTGGGAACTGCCGATTAAGATTACACACCTCAACTTGTTCGATCTAACCGACAATGTTAAATGCCGATTATGTGCGGAGGACCAGGAGACGGTTGAGCATGTTTTATGCCACTGCTCTACTGTTAATCGTATCAGATTTTCGATTTTTGGGTCGCAGTTTATCTCTCTAAAGGATCTGAATGATTTTACACTGAGCAAGGCATTAATGTTCGTTAAGAGCATTAGATCTTTGAAGTTTATGTAATGTAATGTAGTGGAATCAAAGTGATCAATTATGTAAAACAAATTTATTTCTTTATTTCTTCAAAAAAAAGCTTATAAATAATATTACATTTTCAGAAAAATGGTTTTGTCCAGCTTATTTTGACGGAATATGGTGTTGGTCTCCAACTCCTGCAAATTCTTCGAATATAGTACCATGCCCACCTTACATAGCTGGTCATAAAATAGTAAATAATTTTACAACTGTTAATATTAAAAAATTAAAAATAATTTTTGCTTATTTTGTTTAGGACGCGAATGCAAGTAGATTTTGCACTGAATTGGCAGAATGGTTTATTAATCCTGAACGTAGAACGTATTGGACAAATTACTCCCAGTGCATACAAGACAATCCAACGGTTGTGGATAAAATTTGCGATGAAAATGTAACATTTCCGGTGAGATTCCTAATATTATTATTTTTTTTATTTATTACATTCGATATTTTTAGCATTACATTCAACTTATTAATGTTATATCACATACGGGATACACAATATCATTTTGTGCACTGCTGATTGCTTTCGTGGTAATGTTGGCGATAAAGTAATTTAAAAAAAATAAGATCTAATAAATTAAAAGTGTTAATTTTTAATTTTTGTAGAAAATTACATTGTCCAAGGAACAAATTGCATATGCACCTATTTATGTCATTTATACTAAAAATATTTTTCACACATTTAAAAGATATTTTATTCGTGGGTGGAATTGGATTAAAAGAAAATATTGTTTCTAAAAACGGGGATAAATACTTTTTTCATGATCGAGAAGTAAATATAATTTAATAACCTAATTAAGAATATTTAAACTTTATTATTTACAGACTAATAATTGGACTTGCAAACTTGTAACAACGTTATGGGAATTATTTATCACAGCGAATTATTCATGGATACTCATGGAGGGTTTATACTTACATAATTTGATATTTAGAGCTCTCTTCGCCGATTCCGATAGAAATATTCTTCATTATATCATTCTCGGTTGGAGTAAGTCCTTGTTTAAAATATAGAGATAAATATGAATATTAATAAAGCACGGCTTTTTTAATATTTTTAAGTCCCACATATCTGCATCATAAATATTGAAATTCATGTTTACGTTACAGCGCTACCAACACTCGTTATAATACCATGGGTTATCACAAGAAGAATATATGATGATACGTTTTGTTGGACAACGCATAATGAAGAATACATATTCTTAATCATACGAATTCCTACAATGATATCAGTACTTGTAAATAATTTTATTAAAAAAAAAGAATCAATTTACTAAATTATTATTAATTAATTTCAGATTAACTTCGTTTTATTTATAAGAATAACAAGAGTAATCTATAGCAAATTGCAAGCTCCTATTTACGAGGAAGCTCGTCGATATCAAAAATGGGCAAGATCAACCCTAGTTTTAGTTCCTTTGTTCGGGATTCATTACGCTCTCTTCATCAGCATTTCCTACCTGATGGATCAGCATCCCATAACAGAATTAATATGGATCGGATGTGACCAATTTTTCGCCAGCTTCCAGGTAAACATAAAATGAATTATTAAGGACCCTAATCAATCTTATTTTTTTAAGGGCTTATTCGTTGCTATTTTATATTGCTTCATGAATGCTGAAGTTAGAGCTGAAATTAAACCGTTTATGCATTCATTTCTAACCAACTGGGCTACAAAAGACTATTTTAGGCACCTCTTTCCCTGTCGTAATAAATATTTGAGGTAAAATATTTTAAATTGATTTAAAACTCATTTCTCATATCATTTTTGCATTTAGGTCAGGAAGGGGAAGACCATCAGTTTGCACAACAATGTCTTGCAGTTCTTTGTATAACAATGGAATAGGACATCATCGAAATAGCAAAACGAAATGGGAATCATCTTTAAAAGGAAAACATTCTGGAATTCAAGGTAAAAATATTTTATTCTTACCTAAAATATTTTCCTTGAAAACATATTTTATAATTAAATTTCATCGGTTACATTTCTGATCGAACTCAGAATCTGGCCACGAAACGAAACGTTTTCAAGCTCTTAATAGCTTTCACAGCGTTGAGTAGAGTCGATCGTTCTAATTTTCGCTTTGCGATCAATACGAGTACATCACGTAAGGATATTCACAGACCGCAGGCATGGTTGCTCATTTTAATATTCGATTTAAACGAGTTGTATTTATTACGATTTTGTTGATATTTAACAAAATGTTTGTTGTTATGATTGCAGATAAAGAAAAAGATCATGTTTGTAAACATAACACAAGAAGTTGGCATGAAGCGTCCTCGAAATGGTTGCAAGGAGATAATCATTCAAAGGAATCCGAATTTAATCGATCGTCGCAAACTGAGATGACTGATGACAGATCTATGAGATTGATTGTTGATAATGAGAAAAGTAAATCCGTACCAAATTCCATAAATGAAACTGCGTGCATGTTGCCGAGAAAAGATTAAAAATTCTAGTCAAAAAAAATTTTAAACTGGTGAATCAATATGATGATAACATATCACCAAGAAATAAGACATTTTTTGTAGGATACTGAGTAAAAAGACAGACATATGTGGAACAAATGTGATATAGTTTGGAAACTTTTTTATCAGATACGAGTAATATTATTTATAAGCGACAACTCATTCAAAAGACCTACTTTGTAACTTTAATGTGATTATATAAAAAATAAAATACTCGATGTTTTGAGGTATTTTTTCTAATAGTACAAATTACTGTAAGTTTTCGAGTTGATAAATGTATGAAGTCATTATTATAACATAAATATCCCGCACCTTTTAAGGGTTTTAAGATTTTAAGTTTACTACCAACCTTAAACCGCTTTTGATTGAAGTTTTCGTATTTTGCTTTAGCATCTGATCATTTTGCCATTATCAAAACCGTAATTAACCGCAGTATGAGAATACGGAATAAATCAAAAACAAAAGAAAACTTTAATATCAATAATATTTATTTATTTTTCTTAAAGAAAATTATACATTTTTTTATTATCTAGTTATAATTAGATGTTATATGGAATTAATATGTGTTATATATGTTAGATGTATACAAATTTCTGTGTATAAATAAAATATCTATTATAATTGAAAATTTTGTTTCAATTAGTTATCCAACTAGAAATTATTTAATTAAATATTAAACAATGCTTTATATTTATAGTACTACGATATTTAATCGATTAAGTTTATAAAATATTTACCAAAAATATTAATTTGCTTCAATTTATAGTAGATGGCATGTTACTGGCGCTATCTCTTGTAAACTATTAACACTAAAACAAGAAAAACAAACTGTTTGTCGAGCCGCAGAGCTTTTTGAAACATATACTTACTTAGTCATATTGACTGACGGAATACTACATTTGAAGAATGTTTTTGAGTTTACTTATTGTATCGGTTCTGTTATATTTATCATCTGATCTTCCTGAACAGTTGAATGATACATGACCTTGCTCTATTAACTCTGCGTCGACCCAGAGATGAGCACAATGCAGAACCAATGGTAGATGATGAAGAAAATGTGCCCTCAATGTCTAAAGCCATAACTAGTGCTCCTATTACTGCTTCTGCCAGTTCCACAATTCATTGGTCCTCTATTCCCAGTATTATACTAATAATTCTAAATTAGTAATTAGAAAGAAATGTCATTTGTAACATACTGACGAATATTTTGCCAAAAGTATAGCTATTATTTCTTCAAACAGAAAAAAGATCAAGGTAAAATTTGTATGTTCTACAAATCTCATGGTTCAGATAGAACGGCAGAATAAGAAATAACTACCAGTATGTAACTAAAAAAGTGTAACGAAGCAAAAACTGAGACCAAGGAAAGAATTTTGAAAGAAAAAAGAATTACAAAGTACTTTTCACGTAGAGCTTGTCTTAGTTTGGTCACAGTTGCAAACTTATTCTCTAGTAAAGAAACTATTGCATACAAAATTCTAAAATTTGATTTTGAAATGTGAAGATAAATGTTGGTCTTTCCTACTTCGTACATGTTAGCACGGTACGAGTCACTTTCACCCTTCTCCTATGTACTCAAAATCTCCACTGCAGTTTGAATCGCAAGAAATGTCTCTTCTTTAATGAATCTCTTAGAGACGATCAAAACTAAACTACATACAGAAGATCAATATACTCCAATATATTTGAAAAAAACTCAAACGAACGCATGCCTAGAGCTACCTAAACGGTTTCCTAGGTTTTAGCTTTATTTTCTGATACATGCAGAAACTTACCTATTACAGAAGAATTTCAACATTATGATTATAGAGCAAAAGTATGTTTCTGTGTTTACCATCCATGAATGGTATAAATTTCTGGATGGCCAGAACATTTTCCGATTTCCTTGATTTAAAGTAGCTTTCAACATCATTATTAAGCTAAAGCATACCTTAGGTAAGAAAGTAAGCTGGTTGGAGAAAATGAAATAACTAACATCATATTGACTGCAATGTTTTAGCAAGTGAGAATAACACATAGGTGATGATTCTTAAGTTATTCACACTTCCTAGTTAGTAGAAAATAATTTTTGTAAAAACTCCTACTAATTTATGATTTTAAAACAAATTGTAATATAAATTTATAATTATTAACACATTTAAGTGAAATAATATTGGGCAGTTAGTTGAGCGTTGGATGTAACCATTGAGTAAAAGTAATTACAGTACATTTGCTCCTCTGAAACAGCTTTAATCTCGTTCCTATGAAATTGCGAAGCTTAGCTCATAATTAGCCGTGCATTTTGGAGTTGTGCCATCTGTTCTACAATTGCTTTGACCAGCTACAATGCGGTTACTAAAGTCGGTGTAATTTAAAGAAAAATTTTTTAATTATTTTTCCAAATAAACGGAAAATAAAATAAAATGTTAAATTTTGTCCCATAAACTTTATTTCACTAATATTAATATTTTACAAATAAATATTTAGGTACTTTTTTTATTATTCGATTACAAATTACAATCACATAATGATATTTTTTTAAAGATTGTTAATATAATACTGGAGATAGTTTTAATTTTTACTGTAATATTAATTTTATTTATTGTAACTATTTCTTTTCGCTTTCAGTTTCATTCAATCTCTTCTTTTCCTCTTGGCCATCAACAAACACTTTTTCAAGCATTTTATGTTCAGCTTCGTCTTTTTCATTAATAATAGGATTATTCCATGGTTGAATTTCCGATTTAGAAAATATTAAATATAAAAATCCGGAAGATAACATCATTGCAGTTCCTATCCAGAATACTTTTTGCCATTGGCCAACCGTTTGCTGGAAAAATAAAAATGTATCGATTTTTAATTAAGCAATTACATTCGGCGTAATTAGATTCTATTTAAATACTCAAGATACTCTGAATAGAGTGAGTATAGTGTCAACCCCAGATAACCACGATAATTGTTTCCTAATTGAATAGAAATTAATTAAACTGTGTTAATGATTTCTTAGTTGGTTGGTGGATTATATTAAGAATTTGTTTTTTTTATTTTAATTTGAAATAATCGTTATTTACCGCATCTGCATCGTATCTGTGAGTGAAGGCCAACTAGCTAAGAGTAAGAAACCCAATTAATTATGTCGTTGAGTGGATTTACCAAGAAATTATGCAGAGATGGGCCGAAATAACTAATCAACTAAGTAAAACTGATATTTGTTTATACTTACATTTCCGAATGTAAAGTAGCTTACTGTAGCTGGTGTAAGAAATCCAACAATAGCAACGACTGTGTTACACATCCCCAAAGATATGCCTATAAAAAATTGAATAATTTCTTTATAATATACCGAAATGACTTTGTTTTATTGAAATATTTAATTACATAGTAAAGAGCAAATGCTTTACTTAATTCCCACAGTAAAGTTTACCCTGTAATGTTTACATACTTGCATAGTTTGGGCTAATATCGACTAAACTGGCTAAAGGCCCAGTAGAGACTGCACCATTTGCCGCAGTAGACGCGCTCAAGAACAAAATTGCTGCGGTATAGTTGCATCCGGAATAAGCGAGTCCTAACATCAGCAATCCCTGCAATATGCAACCTGCAAGATAAATTCAATATCACAATTAATTCGGTTAGCTGTTTCTCGAAGATAAATGTATTTAATTCTATTAACAAAGTTAAGACTCGATTACCATATTGTTGTAAACAAACTAAACACCTTGAATTATTCATCTCACCAAGTTGCAATGGTTACAAAGTTGATAAAATAAATTATATTGCTAAAAATACAAAATATAATAACATAACTTACATTGTGTAGCAGCTAATTTTCGCACGTTCGTTCTGGATAGTTTATTGGTCCTTAATAAGAAATCGCCTAATTCAGAGAATGCAAATGCGTATAATACTCTTAAAATGTGGGGAATCCCAGATAATATTCCTGTCTGAAATAAAATTAGATTCAATTAACTGCAAAGATAAGCAACAACCTATACAATGTGTTAATTAATTATCGTACCCGACGTCATCATTGCAAGTACGCAACCAATATCACAGTATTGGTATTGCAATACACAAATCGAGTACAAATCTGTAATATTGGTTGCATATTTGCAATGATGACGTATGTACGATAATTAATTAACACACTGTATTTAATGTAATGACAGCATTTAATTGTAACGCGTTTTCTAAAGATTGATTTGATAAAAGACGTAAAGAAAATCCAAAATCATCACGGGAAAAGCAGTAATGCAGTCCTATCTCTCTATCATTAAAGCAAACAAAGTTAAATAAAGAAAATGCTAACTAATATATGAAATTATAGACATTTCAAAAATTATTTTATTTATCTTTATTAATTTTCTCCTAATTTTAAGTTGAATCGTTTTTAACAATGGAAAAGTATTCACTGATAACGTCATTTTCAAGTAGATACATATTTAACATGTTAAAAGATAAAGGTCATCAATAATGTTTAAAAAAAGGTGATGATACGACTTCTCAAAAATATAAGTGATTGAAAGTTACAACGGCGCCGTGGCTTAGTTGGTTAAAGCGCCTGTCTAGTAAACAGGAGATCGTGGGTTCGAATCCCGCCGGGGCCTAAGTCCATCATTAAAGAGCTTGGTTGGGCTACTTTTTTTGTACTATTTAATAAAACCAAAAAAATTTTAAGACTTACTGATTTAATATCCCATCCATGAATAATTTTGAAATACATCGGTGCGTGTGTCATTAAAGTAAATAATCCCCATATTCCTCCAAATTGGCACAAGATGTTCATCCATATCGGCATTGAAGTTAAAATGTGTTTCCATGGAATTGGTGGCTAATAAAAAGACAAAATTTGTTATTAATTCTTTCAAACTGTAATAAATAGAAGTAGTAATTACTTTTTCTTTTGCCACGCTATCTCCCAAACTACTCAAGATGTATTCTTTCTCGCGTTTTGAAATTGTTGGATGTTCGGAGGGAGAATCATAAACGTAAAGGTACCACAAAATATACCAAAGTGATCCTAAAACTCCGTTACCATAAAATACCATTTCCCATCCCCAATGATCAATTATCCAACCACAAAGTGGATAAGTTAACGCTGTACCAATCGAACTACCTGTATATAAATAAAAAAAACAATGAGTGAATTAATGAAGTTATTATAAGATAGCGATCACTTCAAGATTTTTATTTTGTTTTGATAATAACACAAAGATAAAATCGCACGATATTATTTGTACTGTAAAACAAAGATATATAATTAACCTCAATATTACAATAATTGTTACAACAGTTACATCTATACCCCGGTTTTAGACAATACTCTATTTTAACGATTTTGAAAATAACTGAACTAAAAAAGAATTAAAAGAAATCTGTAGATACTTTTTACGTCCTATGATTAAATTGCGTGGAATTTTAAATCTAGAAGAGTTGTTTCAAGAAGAAAAATGGAAAATTTGATCAATGTTAATAGTAAAATCCATTTTATCAGTAAATGTGAATAAGATTTGATTTAATTTTGATTTAAAAATCAACTAATTGTACTTTTGTACTGGTTTATTATAAAAATATTTCATCTTCAGAAGCGTTGTCGTAAAATACAAAGTTTAAAAATAAAAACGACGTTACATGAAAAGTTACAAAAGTAAAATATTTCATAATTTTTTTAAATATTTAATGTTTAATTTATATTTTTTATTTAATATTTTATATTTAATTAATATTATTTTTAAATATTTCATATGATAAAATATGATATATTTTATCATTTTATTTTTGTAACTTTTCGTGTAACGGCGATTTAATTTTTAAACTTTGTATTTTATATTTATAACATGTTAGTTTCATAGTTTTTTAAATTAATATTTGCAATTGTTGTTTAAATATCACTATATTTGATGTGCTGACCTTATTTACGTTTTTCGCATTCATGCGAAGTTTTTTGAAACTTTTATTACGACAACGCTTCTGAAGATGACTGATTAGTCGAAACATGTAAAGCGAAATATTTTTATAATAAACCAGTACAAACGTACAGTTAGTTGATTTTTAAATTAAAATTAAACCAAATCTTAAAAATGGAAAAAGCAATAATGATATGGTTGGAAGTCGAACCTCAAAAGAGGACTACAAGTGATAGCAATACAATTTCAAATAAGACTTTGCAGGTTTATGAGAAAGTTGAGAATTAGTCACCATCTACTTCTTCAGCTGAAAAGGAGACATTTTTTTGCAAGCCAATTCAATGATCCAAACAAAGACTTTCTTTACATAATGTAAAAAGAGCAAGCTTAAAATGTTTCCGATAATTCTTACATTGTTGATGGTTCCGAGTTATTTTGGAATAAATGCCAAAAAGCTTTTGGCTACTGCTCACCGTTTGACGCTAATTTTATGTAACACCTCGGCCACAAGTGACCTCGACTTAATCAAGAAACATCATGCACTCTTAGTTATGCATTTCGCATCATTTAGTTGTGGCCACTTTGGGCCGCATTGTGTGCAACACAAGTTTTATGTTGATATAGTAATAATTGTAGCACCTCGGCCACAAGCGACCTTAGCTTAATCGAGCTTAATTTAGCTTTATTAATTATATTTATAATAATTAATTTAGCTTTATTATATATAGTGTAAATTGTACCGCCTTGGCCGCAAGCGAGTTCGGCTTAATCAAACAACATCGTGCATTCTTTGTTATGCATTTAGCTTTATTTAGCCAAGGCCGCATTCGACACCAGTTTTGTGTTGATATAGTATTAATTGTAGCGCGTCGGCCGCAAGCGACCTCGGCTATTATTTCTTTAACGGTGCAGATTGTACGAGCTACGCTAATATCTCTTTAACAAAGTAGATCCTACTGCCTCGGCCGCAAGCGACCTCGGCATTATTTCTTTAACGATGTAGATTGTAGGTGTGACATCATACATTCTTCGTTATGCATTTAGCTTTATTTAGGCAAGGCCGCATTCGACACCAGTTTTGTGTTGATATAGTATTAATTGTAGCGCCTCGGCCGCAAGCGACCTCGGCTATTATTTCTTTAACGGTGCAGATTGTAGGAACTACGCTAATATCTCTTTAACAAAATAGATCCTACTGCCTCGGCCGCAAGCGACCTCGGTTATTATTTCTTTAACGGTGCCGTTTGTAGGAGCTACGCTAATATCTCTTTAACAAAATAAATCCTACTGCCTCGGCCGCAAGCGACCTCGGCTATTATTTCTTTAACGGTTTAGATTATAGGAGTTGTATCATGCATTCTTCGTTATGCATTTAACTGTATTTAGCCAAGGTCGCATTTGACACCAGTTTTGTGTTGATATAGTAGTAATTGTAGCGCCTCGGCCGCAGGCGACCTCGGCTATTATTTAAATAACGGTGCAGATTACAGGAGTTGCACTAATATCTCTTCAACAAAATAGATCCTACTGCCTCGGCCGCAAGCGACCTCGGCTATGATTTCTTTAACGGTGCAGGTTGTAGGAGTTACGCTAATATCTCTTTAACAAATAGCCAAGGTCGCATTTGACACCAATTTTATGTTGATAATTAATTGTAGCGCCTCGGTCGCAAGCGACCTCGGCTATAACTACATAACTATACTCTTCTACAGCAAAGCATAAAAATACATTTTACTCACCTAAATATGCAGTAACAAATTTACTTCTTTCATTAGGTGGAATCCACTTAGCAGTCATATGATGCATTGCAGGCCAAGCACAACCCTAAAAAAATTATTTAAGAAAATCATCTAACTATAAAAAGTTAATCATCTTACTGTTATGAATCCTTGAATTATTCTTAATGTAATCAAGTACTGATAACCCAAGTTGGAAAAGAAAGGAATCATAAAACATATTAAGACCCCGATAAAGTTCGATAACCCAAATACAAGTTTGGTACCATATTTCTGGGCGAGTAAACCACCGGGTATTTGAGTTGTCCAATGCAGCCAAAAGTATGCACCAAGGATTAAACCTTGAATGTATTCATCCCAAACAAACATGTCTGGTTGAACCGAATCAAATTCGATTTTCTAAAAGAAATGATACAAGTAATTGCAACATAATTGTTTTTGCTTATAGTAATGTCTAAACAGAAACGCAAAATATTTCTTATCGCTATGGTATTTAATAATATTTATTTATCATTTTTATGCAGTTCCGTGAAAGATGATAATTGAATAACAAGATGTATTTAGAACAGTCATTATCTAAAAAGTTAGTTATCTAAGAGTTAATTAAATAATATTATTAATGATTATAAATAGAGACGAAAGAAATTTTGTCCTACAAACGAAAATAACAATACAAAATATACTTACTGGTTTTACATCTTTCTCGATACTTGCATTAGAAAAAAGTTCATCAAGTGAATTACTTCGATTAACATTATCTATTAAACGTGAAATTGTTTCTGTCTTTTGAATGCACTCGCTAGTTTTATGAGTACTTCTTGGATGTTGTTTTACCATAGAAACTAATGCTATATTTAAATTAATTCTAATCATATAATTTACAGCAAATCCAAAAAACACTAAATACCAAAGTACCCGTCTTGCCGATCGTGGTTCTTCTAAAAAAAAATTAATAAAGTTTTTAAGAAATAACAATAAACATTATTTATTTATAAACACAAATAAGAAATTGACGTCAATACTAAATGTCTTCTTATATTTCTTTGTCTTGCATTGTTAAATAATATAGATAAATAATTGTTAACAATCGACGCATAATAATAATGTGTAAGGTTATCGGCATGATTTGTTGTTTCTGGAAATATTTATATATATGGTGTATATTGTGTTTGGATGAACCAAAACATTCCCAAAAAATACAATCTTAAAAAATATTCCATATTTATGATTTGTACAAATAAGATAAGCTGTAGGATGTTTTATTTTAAGTTAAAATTGTGAGAAAAATCCTAAAGTGAACTAAATGGGATTTAATTTAATTTAAATCAGTATTTATCAATAAAATCAATGTTATTAATGTGACTGTTAATAGCGAACTAATAAAATTAAATTTAACTTGCCTTCCTTAACGTTTTCCATTTTGCTTTTAAATAAAAGTCCTACCACTAAATATCATTAACAAAAATTTATAATAATTTCTTTTTACATCCATATAATACCCCACCGAATGAATTAGGCTGTTGTCTCCAGCGCATCAAGCGAGAAACTGCTCTCGCACTTTCCTACATTTATCAGCTAAACGCTATTTTTACAAAACAAACAATTAACAAGCTACAAATGTAAAATAAAATGATATTTCTTTTTACTTATATGATAAAACAATGCTATTACGCAATGTTTGCGGAAAATTATGCAAGGACAAAATTACCCCACAATTGTTTCGAATAATTCGATTGTTAACTTGTATCTTTGATAACACTTTTCGATTTAAATTAGTTTATAACTTCTTCAAATGAATGATAATCTTGCAACAAAGAAATTGCTTTAATATGTACTTGATTTTATTCAAAATGAAAATAAAATATTTAATGGAAAATTATGTCGTATGAATGCTATTAGCGTAGTCCTACTTGAAATCAGTAATTATTGTGTTAATCATCTAGGTGTCTAAATGTGTGGCATATTCAGGTATACAATACTGCAATGGACGTAGAAAGAAAACGCTTAAAATTAAAACAATAACAGAGATTAAGTGAAATGACTTTATATAGTTGTTGATGCAAAAGTTTTGATATCTAGGGTACCCTTTAAATTATCAATAAAAATTTAATAGAAGGATTTACACTACTAATTCTTCAAAAAGTCAGGTAATTTCTTCTTCTTCCTCCTCTTTTTTTAAAGCCTTTGCCTTGTACGCTATAATCTAGAGACGATGAATTCCAGCTTTCATACCACCTTGTGGGTGGGCGTCCAGGAAGTCTGTTTGATCTTGGGATACCATCCCTTGCAATTTTCAACAATCTGTTGTCATCCATCCACTCAACATGGTCCCTCCATGCGCGACTATATTTTGGACACCACTGAGTTCTTTGATGCCTCCGCTTCTCTTATGGTCCCTCAGGGTGCTATGGATCGTAGGGTCCTCATCTCTGCTGTTTGAATGATTCTGTTTGTTGCAGTTTTGAGCCCTAGTTTCCTCAGCATACAGGATCAACAGTGTGAAAGGATATTTTTCATTTCATATCATATCATATGCAATAACTTCCAACCACCTATGAGTTTAAGCAAAATATAATCTTTCCTATATGTGGATGTTCATCTTTGTGATATTTTAAATGAAACTGTGCGTGCAGTGACATCTAACGAGACCAATATGTAACTTTAATTACAACGTTAGTTTCCTGTATCATCAAAACAGAGACTTCCCTAACAACTCAACTCTAGCCGTCTTACTTTGCTATTGTCATTAATTATACTACTCCAGATTGCTAACCATATGTAAAATCGGCAACTGTATATGTTGGGTTGCATCACGCACTGTTTATTCTCAAAAAGAGAATAAATGTAGATAAGTGAGATAGAGTCATAATAAGAAAAGAGACGATCTGAAAAAGTTTTCTTCATCTCTCTCATTATCCGAGGAATAAAATGCTTTCACTTTGCTCAAGGGTTTAATGTTTAAGGGTCGATAGCTAACAATTAATACATAAAGTTCATTGGTGTTACTTAGATACAATCGTTACTATTTAAAATTCTCCTTAGAAAGAATCTTAAAAACGCACCAAAATGAAGTAGGACTAATAAACATTTTACTGAAGGAAATAATAACAATCTTTAAATGTGGAAATGTCTTTTAGTGTATCTTGTTTAGTGATTTGATGGCGTGAATTGGCGCACGCATCTATTAACGAAAAAAAAAAATTAAATAAAATAAAAGTTATGTAAAGCAAACGCTAGGGCCTCCGTGCCTAACCGTGGGATCAACTATTGAAACAAATTATGAAAGAAATAAATAAATATAATCTATTTAAATCAATTAAAGAAAAAATACAATATTTAAGGCATATATTCGAACATAGACGCTACAATACTAATTATTATAAATTATCTTATCGCATATACTCTAATAACGACTACTTACATAAACTAATTTAGGTACTAAAATAAAAATAAAAAATTCTTATTAGCGGTAATGGTGAGGAAAACGAGAATAAATAAAGAAAACTTAGCGTAAATCTAGCTTAAACTATGGGCACAAACGAGAGAAGAATCATGTTTAAAGAATCTGCCAGTTCCAAGATTCCGGAGGAGACTGAAAGCTATTGTCACGGAAAATCCGATATATACCATTGACATGTTTTTCCAATTTAATGTTTGAATTCAATTTGTATTATATCACAATGTAATTATTGTTAAATTGACGCACTCTATGCTTTTTTGTAAAATGGAGAAATAAAATATTATTATTAAAATATTAAAAATATTATTCCTTGTGGAAAATATATTGAATACTTCCATATCTTGAGCTAGTGTACCATATGTACATATGAATAGAACATTCGTGCAAAATTATTTAATATTAAAATAGTATTATTTAAGTGTTTGCCGAACCTATCCTTTGATATCGACTCCTTCCGCTGACAGAATGAGAGTCATTCGGCTTGCGCATACTACATATCAATCCTATTATTCCACGTGGAAAATAATCATGATGCAGATATACCCACTTCATAGGCATGCTGGAGGGTTTGTAAGCCTCGCTAACGACAATGCCTCCATGAAAGTACTACCTCTCATTGAGATCAGAGCATTATGGTTATTTTCCACGTGGAATAATAGGATTGATATATAGTATGCGCAAGCCGAATGACTCTCATTCTATCAGCAGAGGGAGTCCATACCAAAGGATAGGTTAGGCATACACTTAAATAATACTATTTTAATATCAAATTATTTTGCATGATTATTCTATTTACATATACATATGGAAAACTAGCAGATTCAGATATGGAAGTGTTCAATATACTTTACACATAATTATTCAGCCAGACGCAAGCTTTCGTTTGAGATATAGAACATTAAAATCGGTCAAACCGTTCTTTAGTTATAGCGAATTTAATCAAAATTATTTTTTTTCTAACTAGGGGCCAGACTTCCAGTCGGTAGATACGTGGAGTCATTTAAATGGTAGGTTAGGCAAACACTTAAATAATAGTATTTTAATATCAAATTATTTTGCACGAATATTTTAGTTATACGTATATATGCAATTTTTATTTTAATTCCTCGTGGAAAATATATTGAATAATTCTATATCTTGAGCCAGTGTACCACATGTACATATAACTAGAAAATTCGTGCAAAATAATTGAATATTAAAATAGTATTATTTAAGTGTTTGCCGAACCTATCCTTTGATATCGACTCATTCGGCTGACAGAATGAGAGTCATTCAGCTTGGGCATACAGCATATCAATCCTATTATTCCACGTGGAAAATAACCATGATGCAACTATACCCACTTCATAGGCATGCTGGAGGGTTTGTAAGCCTCGCTAACGACAATGCCTCCATGAAAGTACTAACTCTCATTGAGATCAGAGCATCATGGTTATTTTCCACGTGGAATAATAGGATTGATATGTAGTATGCGCAAGCTGAATGACTCTCATTCTATCAGCGGGGGAGTCCATATCAAAGGATAGGTTAGGCAAACACTTAAATAATACTATTTTAATATCAAATTATTTTGCATGATTATTCTATTTACATATACATATGGAAAACTAGCAGCTTCAGATATGGAAGTGTTCAATATACTTTACACATAATTATTCAGCCAGACGCAAGCTTTCGTTTGAGATATAGAACATTAAAATCGGTCAAACCGTTCTTTAGTTATAGCGAATTTAATCAAAATTATTTTTTTTCTAACTAGGGGCCAGACTTCCAGTCGATAGATACGTGGAGTCATTTAAATGGTAGGTTAGGCAAACACTTAAATAATAGTATTTTAATATCAAATTATTTTGCACGAATATTTTAGTTATACGTATATATGCAATTTTTATTATAATTCCTCGTGGAAAATATATTGAATAATTCTATATCTTGAGCCAGTGTACCATATGTACATATAAATAGAAAATTCGTGCAAAATAACTTAATATTAAAATAGTATTATTTAAGTGTTTGCCGAACCTATCCTTTGATATCGACTCCTTCCGCTGACAGAATGAGAGTCATTCGGCTTGGGCATACAGCATATCAATCCTATTATTCCACGTGGAAAATAACCATGATGCAACTATACCCACTTCATAGGCATGCTGGAGGGTTTGTAAGCCTCGCTAACGACAATGCCTCCATGAAAGTACTAACTCTCATTGAGATCAGAGCATCATGGTTATTTTCCACGTGGAATAATAGGATTGATATGTAGTATGCGCAAGCTGAATGACTCTCATTCTATCAGCGGGGGAGTCCATATCAAAGGATAGGTTAAGCAAACACTTAAATAATACTATTTTAATATCAAATTATTTTGCATGATTATTCTATTTACATATACATATGGAAAACTAGCAGCTTCAGATATGGAAGTGTTCAATATGCTTTACACATAATTATTCAGCCAGACGCAAGCTTTCGTTTGAGATATAGAACATTGAAATCGGTCAAACCGTTCTTTAGTTATAGCGAATTTAATCAAAATTATTTTTTTTCTAACTAGGGGCCAGACTTCCAGTCGGTAGATACGTGGAGTCATTTAAATGGTAGGTTAGGCAAACACTTAAATAATAGTATTTTAATATCAAATTATTTTGCACGAATATTTTAGTTATACGTATATATGCAATTTTTATTATAATTCCTCGTGGAAAATATATTGAATACTTCTATATCTTGAGCCAGTGTACCATATGTACATATAAATAGAAAATTCGTGCAAAATAATTGAATATTAAAATAGTATTATTTAAGTGTTTGCCGAACCTATCCTTTGATATCGACTCCTTCCGCTGACAGAATGAGAGTCATTCGGCTTGGGCATACAGCATATCAATCCTATTATTCCACGTGGAAAATAACCATGATGCAAATATACCCACTTCATAGGCATGCTGGAGGGTTTGTAAGCCTCGCTAACGACAATGCCTCCATGAAAGTACTAACTCTCATTGAGATCAGAGCATCATGGTTATTTTCCACGTGGAATAATAGGATTGATATGTAGTATGCGCAAGCCGAATGACTCTCATTCTATCAGCGGAGGGAGTCCATATCAAAGGATAGGTTAGGCAAACACTTAAATAATACTATTTTAATATCAAATTATTTTGCATGATTATTCTATGTATATGTATATATGGAAAACTAGCAGCTTCAGATATGGAAATAGCCAACGTTCCACATTGGAGCACCAGACTCATCCGCGAGTCCATCGAAATAGAGAAGAACGGTACCTTCAACAAGAGAGATGACGCCCTGCACTTGTCAGCCACTTGGAAAACGGTCCTACACCGTCCCCGATCCGGAGCAGCCTTCCTGAGGGAGGGGATTTTGGGCAGACCATAGAGTTTGGGGCACCTGCTTGATTTTTCCCGAGGGATTAAGGTTTTCTTGATCTCGGGGCCTATTGGAGATGCCTCTATTATCGATTTGGTGGTTTTTTTCCAGGTAAGTTGTATGGTTTTTTGCTGCTAAAAAAAATTAAAAGTCGTATAAACGATGAAAATATTTTATTTCGGTGCTATCTTCGAAGATTTCGAACGATTATCGTTCTTCTTCAGGCAGGACTAAGGAACATTCAGATATAACAAAAACACAGATAAAAAATATATATAATTACCGTCGGTGTAGGAGCATCGAGAGTGAAGAGAGTATTGTTTCAGAGTATTTCTTCAAAAAGATTCCGTTTACGAAAAATTCAAATGTAAAAAAACTTGAAGAGTAAATTGAAAAATCCAAAAAATTAAAATGGCGTTTTTCTATTCATCGTAAATCTCGTTTTTCAAAGTGTTTAAAAATAAATGTTAAAAATTAACGACAAAACAAATTACCAAACCTGTAGAGAAAGAACCATAATAACTAAATATAAGAAATCAAAAAAGAAAGAAAATTTTTAAACTTACAATTAACACGTTAAAATTTCCTTTAAAATTAAATAACTTGAGTCAACATGATGAGGGATGAAATTGGACTGAAGGTCATAAGGAACGTTCGCCAGATGATAAAGGTGAAAGAGTGAGGGAAAACGAGTGGGAATAAGAACGTCAACATAAAATCTTTCCATACTAAATTAATTCTTCGCATCATTAAAAATCTGAAACATAAAATTAAAATAGAAAATCGTATTGTTACCATGGGAGACAAAAATGCAGGCCTCGTTGAGTTGGATAAAGAGTCATACATAAAAAAGACATTAACTTTTTTCAAAGAAAATAACATTTTAAAAATTAAGAATAATTTTATCTTTGTTTGTTTATTTATTTATTTATCTTTATTTCTCTAGCTCGACCTCTAGCTCTTCCAGGGATGCGTTCTTCTTCCGAAAGGTTTTCTTGAACAAAGAACAACATATGCTTGTATAAAGCTAGATCTACACTACACGATACGCGAACTTGTTCGCCACTTCATTGAAGTATCTCTAGCCAAGTACCCTTACCTCAAGTACCTCTATCTCTATCTCAAGTACCTCTATCACTACCTCAAGTATCTCTATCTGAAGTACAAAATATTAATATGATTTTTTAATGAAAATAAACTGGTAGAAACAACCGGTTTTTACGGAAAACGTATAATGTTTTCATACAATAAAATTTTATTTATTAATTAAAAAAGAAATACTAAACAATTTTTATTATTAAACTATACTACTTAACTCTTTTAGTTTATTATTAACTATACTACTGTTCTGTGAGTGCTGCCATCTCTTAATCATATCCATTATTATTATAAAATCCACCAGCGCCTCCATAGCGGACAAATCCAAAAATAACACTTTACGCGTTACCAATTTTTACGTAGCGGTTAGCAGTCTGGTATAAAATAGTCAATGCTATTGTCTACACTTCTTCGTAATGCTGTTTTGGCCCTCATTTTCCTTCTAAAATTATTGTTGAAAATAAAAACGATATAACCTCAAACGAGTTGTGATTGATTTCTGAATTTCATAGTACCAATTTAAAAAATATAATAGTACTAAATGGGGGTAACGTTTAAGTTTTTAAATTATGTTGCAACCCAATTAACTTAGAAATAAATAATTAACAAATAAAATTGACCAGTGAAAATTAACATGCCCTTCTAATAACAAATTATCAATTACAAAATAATTTAACTCATTTTTCACGTCCGGTGTTAATTAAACTAATACTAGAACTAACACTATCACTATACAAAACAATATTTCATTATACAAAATTAAATATTTAAAAAGAACTCAATAAAACAGTAAATATGATTTCCGAGTCAGGGCGGTTGTATATTTTATTGGTAAGTATGATTTGGCTGATACAGTAGTAGTATAGGCAGAAATTTTTTCTTGTTGATAAAGTTTACCAGACTGTTTTCATTGTTCGGCTTGAGATAAAGTGTCTTGTTACATTTTTTGGGTCTTATAGTGGTCCAATAGTTTGTCTAATTCTTTCTGAAGACTCTCAGTTTTATTCTTTTCTGAAACCAATAAAATAATTACTAGTTACAAAATTAAAAAATATAATAAACATGTACATCAACATCTATAATTAACATAATATTACTAAAATCATTAACACAATCACGCATTTTGTTTCATTTTAAAATCTCTTACCTGTTTCTTCATATATCGTAGTTGACGTAGTAGGATTAGGAAAAGGTGAAGTGAAGATATTTTTAATCGCATCACTGGTCATTTGTTTCTGAGCAGCATTATTATTTAAACATTTATCAAAAAATACATCTCGACTAAATATTGGTTCAATATTATTACTTTTAATGTTAGAAATGCTAGGTGTCTTCTTAGAAACTTCTTCTTGTTGACACAGTTTTACTAGATTCTCATACATTTGATAATAAGCTTCTTGGGCTTCAACTTCATTAGCCGATAAAGCTATAGCATCCATTCCATCTTCTACAGTTGTTAGTACTTTTTTCGCTAATTCTTCTCCTTCTAAATCTCTTATAGCATCATCTGTCGTTTCATTGAAAAACGATGGTTGCGAGTGGCCCCAATTTTTAGAATAACTCGAAAACATACGTCTTTGAGCGTTTGTGTCGAACTTTATTTTTGGATTGGTAAATGTCGCATGCTTTTTGGCTTTTTGCAGATTTTTCATGTCATAAGCACCGTTAGATCTTAAACGTTCAAATATTCTATCTCGTTCGGCACTTTGATTGATTGGTTTAGTTAACTCTTTTTGATGATCAGAATAACAGCTGTATGGCGTGCTAACCGGAGAACATGGATGGCGAGAACTCGAATCGCAAGTTTCAACATCATCTCTTTTTAAAGCATATTTATTGTATTTCGGATTTTTATTACTCGAAAAATGTCTATACGATACTTGACAAAGATTGGCCTGAGAACTGCTACTTAATATTCCTGAATGTTGAAAACATCGGGGAAAAATACTTTTTCCCGTCATTGATACATCACATATTCTTGGCACTATTTCAGGTTTATAATCTGTTTTCTCAGTTTCTTCTAAGAACACCAAACGGGTTTTGCCAATGACTAATAGCTAAAATTAACTTACCTTTAGATAAACATGATTCGGTATCAAATTCGATTTCATCATTTGGGTCAGCAAAGAATTTATCCACACACGTTGAGAATTCCCTATCACATGGTATTTTATGAGGTGGTTCGCATTTTCGCAATTTCAAACCACAATTATTATTATTATTTCTCTTTTTAGGCGACATGTCGAACATTCCAGAGTTTTTCATTTTAATGAAAACTTTTTCTTGTTCAGAACACTCGCAAATTGGAAGTCGAGGAAATCCCTTGTTGCAATCGGAAAAACTTGGATAAGGAGCTTCGATACTTGCACATGGAGGATACGGAGCCTTAATATTGCACGATTCTCTTGCTTTTGGTAAACAACAACCTTCGGGGTCAATTTTGCATGGTTCTTTTGCACAATTATTATCAGTACTGTACATACGCGTTTGGGAAAGCGTTGAATACGATCTAATATTTTTATGCCCGAGGATGCTATCAGAGAAACGAATCGAAGCGTTATTTCCTGTAAAAATTATAATGAACTTTAGTTAATATTCAGATGAAAACAACACAAACACTTACCACACGATTTCTTTGTTATATTTACCAATTGTGGTAAAGTCAACGTGCTGCAATATCTTCTCACAGCGTCTGCGAGATACGATGTAGTATCGTCACAGTTTGTTTCTGAATAAGTTTTAGGAGGTGCCAGAAAGCTTGCAGAGAGAAAGAAATTTTTGAATTCTTTATCTGAAAGCTTTTGAAGGTCTGAAGAGAATACTGAATAAGCAATGCGCTGCAATTTGTGATCATTTGAACCAACAAGGGTTGCTTTTGTTGAGCTCGACACCTTAGTTAATTGACTGCTATTATTACGTTTAACAGACGAATCAGTTTTTGTAGGTGGTGGAAGAATATTATTGAAAATCTTAGCTTGATGTGCTAACGCTAAAGTACTATACTCCTTACAAGAAGCAGCTCCCTTACAACCAGGATCGTCTTTTTTCGGCGCACCATGTCTGAAGTCTCTAGGTGGCGTTTTTAAAATATTACATATATCTAATTGACCGGTTTGCTTCTGTCTTTCGAAAATTCGATCTTGCTCAGTGCATTCGTTTCTTGGTCTCTTGCAACATTCTTTCTGACATTCTGAGAAACTTGGATAAGGTGCTTGTTGCGCTGTACATGGCGGGTATGGTGCTTTAATTGAGCAATCAAAACCACGTGGATTGGGACCACAACATGGCGGCTTTTTTATACTACACTTTCCAAATTTGGGACATTCTTTCGAATCAGAATCATCGTTGTGATATCTAACCGGTGCACAGCGTTTTCTGTTTTCTTTAATTTTTTTAAATATACTGCTGCTCCCGGTTGTATAGACTCGTAAACTTTGAGTTGCGTAAGTTCTGTAATGAATGTTTGGTTTATTCGGTCTTGAAAACGGGCCAAGATATTCTGGTGTGATTGCACTTAAATCTTTTGATGTTCTCTGGGAGAGGGCAGACGGTCTCGATTCGGCAGACCCAAAGGTTTTACTCTCGTTTGGCAGTCCATTGTACCTACCTGTAAAAGAAAAAAATTATGTTGTTTTTGCAAATACTATTGTTTATTTTTAATTTTATTCTTGTTATCTACACTATAACACAACATACCCAACAAATTATTTATGGCAAAAGCAGGAGTAGAGTTTTGCGTCAAGCAGAAGAAACCTCTTATGCTTTCATATATTTTCTGCATTGAACTAATACCAGAAGGTGTGGCAACCGCAGTACAATCGTTACAACCGTTTGATAATATTTCATTTTCTCTATTTCTTATTTCATTACTTTCCTGTAGCTCCACTGTCTTAATTCGTTTATTTAAGATATTCGATTTACCCGTCAATTTCTTTGGGGTAAGATGTGAAGAAAATACATTTTGCCAGCCTTTATTTGATGCAATCATTCTATAGCCTCGTTTTGGTACAAAAGACGGTGATTTTTGCGCTTTGCATTGTTGAATATTTAATTTTCCGCACGTCGCTGGTGATGCTATTACAATTTTTAACATATTCTCACGAGAATAGGTGCTGTAAGGTTGAATGTTTTTTCTATCCCGTTTTGTTTTATGAATACAAGTTAAATTAAGTCCTTTGTATGTTGGAAATACACAACTTTGTTCATAATGTTCCTTAAAAGATTTGTGAGGTATTTTAACAGGTGTTGTACAATATTTTAATTTAGGTGATTTGTATACACTTTGTGGTAAAAACAATTTGTTGTAGCTATCAGAAGGTGTACTAAAACTTTGTCTAGTATTACATGATTTCGTCCATTTTTTAATTAACAAATCTTTTCTAATATCTTCACCGGAATCGAAAATTAAATAATTCGCAGCAGATGAAGATTTTCGACAAGATTCCATTTTGACAATTGATCCTTTTGAATACGAACATGATCCACACTTCACCGCTTTCTTTCCACAAGATTTTTTTGGAGCATCACAAGATTTTTTTGGAGCACCACACGTTTTTTTTGGAGCACCACACGTTTTTTTTGGAGCAGAACATGTTTTTTTAGGAGGACCACAAGACGGTTTCGGAGGAGGGCAAGGCGGTTTCGGTGGAGGGCAAGGCGGTTTCGGAGGAGCGCAAGATTTTTTCTTGGCACAGGGTGATGCTTTTGCACCACAACCACCTTTAGGTGGAGATGGAAACGGACAAGGTTTCTTTCCGCATGGTTTTTTCTCTTCCTTTTTAGCACAGACAAACTTTTTCGGGCATAAATCAAATCCCGCAGCAGCTGCTGCTATTTCAGCGTCTCTTTTTAGTTTATCTTTCTTCCACTGATCTGGTGCTGGACAACATGGTCTAGCACGGAAATATTGAACAATTTTTTCCCAGAGGCCTTTCTTCGGACAAGATGGCGAAACTACTGGAGCTGGCTTTGGATCACATTTTGGCTTAGGTTGGCAAGGTGGTTTCGCAACTTTTTTACAACTTCCGCCTTTGCATTTTATAGCTTGAACTTTATTTGATGAACACGTTTTCTTTGGTTGTCGACAAGGTGGTTTCGATGAACAAGTTTTCTTTGGAGATGGACATGGTGGTTTTGCAGCACATGTCTTCTTCGGTTTTGCACATGTCTTCTTCGGTTTTGCACATGTCTTCTTCGGTTTTGCACATGTTTTTTTCGGTTGTGGACATGAACTCTTTGGCTTTCCACATGTACTCTTTGGCTTTTCACACGCACTCTTTGGTTTTTCACACGCACTTTTTGGTTGTGCACACGGTGGTTTCGTTGATTTTTGGCATGGTTTTTCTTCTGGACATGGTACTTTTATTTTCTGACACTTTCCAGACGATCCGCACGGTTTTGTTTCCTTTATTGTTGGTTTACCACAACCTTTTTTCGGTTTTTTGCAACAACGTCTCTTCTTAATATCATCATCACTATCTTTTCTTTGTCGTCCACCGAAACCGCCGCACATGGTAACACTTCTAATCTGTTCACCAGCAGTACGATTTATTCCTCGTTTCAGTGTCCTGTTTACTCTAGCTGAAGTTCCCATTCTTCTATAGGTACCTTTGTTTTCATCTGGTGGTGGATCCTTACACATCCATTTCTTTTTACAAGCAGTTAGTGTTGGAGGACTTGGGTTGGGGCAATAAGCTTTACATGGCCGAGGGGGTGGTTTCTTCGGTATCGGTGTGCAATCTTTAATAGTTCCCTTGCAAACGAGATTACCTTCTCCGCATGGTATGTGTTCTGGTTCCACGCAACCACATGACATAGAAGGTGTTCTAGCCATCAAACGGCAATGTAATTCATCAGGAACGCAGCTGCTACTGTCTATTACTGGGCAACCCTTTCCACGCGATACTCTTGGACCTTTATTACAAGCTTCACAGTGTTCTATTGTTGCTTGCTTCATAGCGGCAGGAATAAGATTTTTTGCTCGTAACGAAACGTAAGGCTTGCCAAAGTCATCGCAAGTTGTTGTACCATAATTGTCTATTTTTAAATTGAGTTTTCTAATCACACAGTCTTCTTCTATCCTCGGATCTATTCTTCTCTGGATCGGAGGTGTAATTACACAAAATTTTCCAATTACAGGATTTTTAGGCTGCAAATGTTTGATGTCCGGTGCAATCTCCACTATACTTTTGTACGGATCATCGTCCTTGCATTCGGAGAACGATGGATAAGGAGTTTTTTGTTTTCCACACGGATTTGGAGGTCGGGGTTTACAAAGTTTTTTCTCCGCTTCACAACGTTCTATATATTTCTTATCGTAGTCAGGTTTTATAATGTTCTTGAGAAAAATAAAATTTGGTAACATGGTACTAAATTGTCTTCTTGGGGAATCGGGTGCAATAGAAACTAAGCTTGGTTTCCTCATAGACAATATACTTTTAGTAACATCTAAACTAGAATCAGCTTTAATCGGTGGCGAATTATCGATAAATGGGTGTGGTGGTACTTGGCAATCGATAGGTATTAATAAAGATATATTTCTGGAAGCAAAATCTTTTCCGCTAGCGGCATGAGGACGAGTGGTAGCTTCAGGATGTTCAACGTTTGCTGAAATATTTAAACGATTAAGTTTCTTGCAATCTCTTAATTCTATCTTTTTCATTGGTAAAAAATTGGACACTTGCAAATGTGATAATTGTTTCATGTCTAAAATCGGGCAAGATTCATCTTGTACTCTTGGTACGCATGAATTCACGAATTTATTACACGGTTCGTCTCCATAGTGAAAAAGTTTTTTAAATCGAGCTAGAGGTACAAGTGGTTTATGGTATGTAGGAAAACTTGAAGATTTTTCGTAATCACTTGTTGGTATCTTTTCAATTTTTGACTGTTTCAGGCAATTATCGGTGTTGATCATTTTTAATAATGTCGAATTCGTGCTGTAACCTCTAGTATCTACGTCACTAAACTTACCGGTATATCCCTCTTTTAATAAATGGATTGGTATGATGGTACTCCTTTTCACATCACCAATGGGTTTTCTAATCAGCTGCACAGTTGCATTTTGAGAATTATCTGGTTGTTCTTGACGTTCACATTCAACTGTAGCCAATTTTTTTTCTTCGCCAAATTGACTATTTTTAAAATCTTCTACAACTAACCGGATTTTCTTGTTAGCACAACAGCACATGGTGTCTTTAGAGTGTGTACAATAATGTCTACTTTTCATACGATTAAATTCTGACGTTGATACTTCATTATAACGTTCAGGCAATAGCATAGTGGGTAGGTGCTTCTTAGGTACTTTATAACCACAAAGATCGTCAGACCTTGATGGTGGTGGGCAGCAAGGATTTCTATATGTTGGTACACAAGGACATATCCTTTCTGTGTACACGCAAGCACATTTTAAGCGTTTTAATGGCGGGCTGTCTACGAGTTCTTCAGGACAAATTCTGGGACAAGTAGGAGCAATAAGCTTTGGAAGTTGCTTAGGACACACTCGCATACCTTCGTCTGCTCGTGTAATAGGCGGTTCTGGGCACATAGGGGGTTTACAGGGCGGTGGAGGATAAACGTCCCTAGGTATTAATCGAACCAACGGTGGTGATGTCATAATAATTTCTTCGCATCGGCCACACATTTTCGGTACTAATTTTGGAAGAGTCTTACGCACCGGTTTCAATCCATCATCAGCCCTAGGATCAATGCATGGAGGTGGAGGACAGGGTCTAAATGGTATAACGGGACGTGGTTGTAAACGCCTCAAAGGAACATCTGTCATACATGGCGGAGGAATTGGTGGACAAGGCTTAGGAATAAGTTTTGGAAGACATTTCCGTGGAACTTTTATACAACCATCGGCCCGTACTGCATCATCACAAGGTTCTGGACAATCACGACACGGATCGGGAATATGAATTTTAGGAAGTCTACGTAATTTTACCATTACTGTATATTCCGATTGGCATTTTTTCTTACAATCGGGATTAACGTGGGTTTTTGGAAACTTTTCTATGTGACAATATGCTACAGATTCTGGCGGTATTTTTCTCGGCGGTGGATCGCACAAACAGTCATCCGGTAAACCGGTACTGGTCCCGGAGCCGTACCCGGTACCATAAGAACGAACATTTACGTAAGGGATAGTATTTTTTGTTAAAAGATGTTTATTTTCCGGCAAATCTATTCCTATTATAAAATCTTTATGTACGGGATGCGCCAATATCTTCTCCATTTCTACCTCCTTTTCAAGAAATCGAAAAGTTGAAAACCTTCGCGTCTGCCTTTCATTAACTGATCGTGATTTATCCTTCACTGCTGATGATGCTATTGATTTTGGAATTAAATTAAGATTAACTGTATTCGCATTCTTCCCTTCTTCTTCTTTTTGCATCTTAACCCTATCACCCCACGACAACCACGGCACTGTAAACTTTTCACCACTTTGTGGAATTAAAGACTTTTCACGTTCTGAATATTCTTCTAATGTCCATGATACAGTTGATTGTAATTTTAATCTAGGTCCTACTGTGACCTTAATCGGTTCTGTTTCTCGAATTTGTTTATCATTCTGCGGGGGGGTATTGTCCAATACCTCATTTGCGTTTATCGACGAGTTCATTGCATTTCGTACAGCAAATAAATTTTCTTTTGAAATTTTTTTGATACGTTCTAGCAATGCACTTCCCATTGAAGGCTGATTTTTCGACATAACATTTTTAAGAGATTCATTGTTCTTCAAGTTATATTTTTGACTTGTAAAATTCCGTTTTTCTTCCATTAACGTACTGATCATTTCTCGCTTTTTTGGCGCAATGTTATTCTCAACGGGTTTTTCCGTTGCTCGATACAACTGCAGCGAGGTTGATTCATTAGTATTTTTGGTGTCTATGTCCGTATTTCCGACTTTTCCAGGTAATAATAATGTTGGTTCAGAATCCGAACAATATCCAGACATATTCGCTTTTTGTATTGTAGAATATGTTTTTCGCGTGCATTGTTCTATTTGCTTTGAGGATGATATACCACTACGAGAGAAGGCGGGATATTGAGAGGAATTTATGGGTTGAGAAGTAAACTGAGTACCACCTGGTGCATACTCTACAGACGAACGTTGATTGCTTTCACTAAATGCTACATGTTCGCTCGTAGGTACGGCATCGATCGATGGCGAATGTTGATATGGAGATCTAATAATAGCATCGTTCAAATGTGACATGGATAACGGCTTATGTTTAATGCGTTCCGCAAGTGGCGTACACCACTGTTTACCCAAAACATCGCCGTAAGGTTTCATATTTTTTGGTTGCAATTGAGGCACTTGTGCGGCAATACTCTGCTCCCTACTTTTAATGGCTGCAATTATATTGTAAGGGTGCGTACCTTTTTCCACTTTCGGCTTTGCAGCGTCCAATTCGTAACGGTATCCAACATTTTTAGGTTGGGCTGCAGCTGTTCGAGAGCTGATGACATTGAAAGTCTTAATAGCTTGTTCGTATTTAACAGATGCTTGTCTCTGTACTTCATCTAAGCGATTATCATATTGTTGTTGTACCGCTGGTATAAATTGTTTATCGAAGTGAATGGAGGATGTCGCCATCGGCGGCAAATGTTTTGGCTGTAACGAATAGTTACCAGACTGCTTTCTGTTATTTTTCAACGATGACATGGTTGATGGTATTGGTTCCACTTCGTGTGCCGACTGCTGCGGCGATTCAGAAGACGACGAGGTACTAAGCTCCCTACGTGTTGATGCAATAGGTGTACTGAACTTCGTATGCGAACGTGCTCTTAAACATTTCCTTTGAGTAGTTTCTGTTCCTGTCGGCAACGCATCTTCCACTTTTTCTACTTCACAATCATTTCCGCGCGATAAAGATCTATATCGACGAGCATTTGAAGCACTTGAATTTTGGAAAATTAGCTGCAACAATATATCAAAAATTACCTCCGTGTATGATGATACCGATATTAAGTGTGGTATGTTACATGTTAACACAGATTTTAACATAGAGCAAAATTTACCTGCCCACACTTTTATACCAACCAAAACAAATCCGGTGTGTTTAAGGTGAAAAAGAAACTGCTGAATAGAAAAGCAACGTAATGTTGATGAACGTACTTAATTAAATTTATATTTCTAATTTACTTTAGCACTAGCGCCATCTTTTTCAATTTTGAACAGGTGGTAGCATGATGTGTTCTTAATGCATACTTTTATTCTTTCGATTACTTTTAGTAGGATACGGTTATGTCAAAAATGGCTGTTATCAGTATTTCAAAGTTATATCTCTTTAATTTAAACAAGCGATTTAAACGCTTTTAAAAAAAAATTAAAAATAATTAATTTAAATTTAAAAAAAAAACAGAAATAAGCCATGCGGGGAAAGCGAGGGAGTCCGTCCAATCGGAATAGATGGTGTGTTCCAGACTGGACGTCGCGCCATTATTTATTTATGTAGGTACAATAAGGCGCGACGTCCTGTCTGGAACGTACACCATGCAGAACTCTTCTTTTTCATTTAACTAGCGATAAAAAGAAAATGTCCAGTGATTACAGAAATCTTTACCACAATTTTTTTCATCGAGCGGTTGCGAAGATATTGATCTCTAAAGTTAGGGGCCTTAACTATAGCTACGGATTCCCATAAATAGGGTTCCAATCCTCCGTAAAAGCTACATTTTGCTGCATATAAAACCATATTTTGAATTCTATACTTAATCTGTATACTATTATCTTAATACTGTATATAATAAATACGAACATTTTATTTGAACAGTTCAATTTATTGTAATATTTTAAAGATTAATGTTTAAATGGTGTGTACAATTAATTAACTTATATAATAAATTCAAAATATATTTAATTTTCAATCACCAAAATGACAAAATGGAAATGTCAAAAAAGATATGCCCCATTTCGGGATACCCTTAGCAGATTTATTATGCCAAAATCGAATGAATTCTTTATATAAAATGATACAATTATTGTTTATTGAAAAATATAGCGCGTAATAATAATATATTTGAAATCTAGAATATTTCGTTTAGATTTAACACCAGATGATAATATAAATAAAAGTAAAGTACTTACATTTTTATTCAGATTACGAGAAATTTGGTGCCCAAGACGAAACGCCATGATAACAGAAATTTTGATGGCCGTAAAACAATGGATGGATTTATAAACTAATTTGTTTGGTCGCCAAAGAGTCGAATGAAACGTCGTATATCATTTTTTTTTATAGTAACATGATTATTATAAAAAATTTATATTCTATTTGATAAACAAATGCTTGGTTGACTTGACTTTACATTCATAAGTTTTTATTTTATTTATTTATAATATTTTCAAAGTTTATAAAAATAATTATTTATTTATTTATTTTTAAGCTCATTAAATTGAGTTCATGAAACTGCAATTCTTTCCCTATTTAATCGTCTCTCGATCTCCGCTAGTTTTCGAGATCTCCATACTAAACATGGAAAAAAACTCACCCTGTATGAATACAAATAAGAAAGATAAATGATAACTAAATGCCTATACTACTGCCTGTACTAAATTCTAAATTACAAGAGATAAATCTCTGTTTTTCCTTATAGTGTGGATAAATCATTTGTATTATGTTCCTATTTTGTACCTTATTATATAAGTTTTGAACAAAATCTACCTTGTATCCATTATTTAAGGCCAATTTCAAGATAAATTTCACTTCCTCCGTAAAGTTCTGTAACGAGAGGTGTTGGTCAATCTGTTAAGCAGAAATCTTTGTGTTTTATGTCATTATAAAAGTTTTTGTGGAGGGTTTGTGATAAATTTTGAAATTAATCTTATTCTCCGCTAGGTTTTTATTTTTTAATCAGAGTGACGTCCAGGAAGTTTAATTTATTATCCTTCTCCCTTTTAATAGTGTATTCCAGATTGCCCAGGTTATTAAGATTATGTAATAATAACTTTCATTTGGTTCATTTTTATGTAAAATGAACCGTTTTCGAGATAATCGCTTGTCTCACGTTAAATGGACCACCTGTATATATTACTATTCTCCAATTTCAATATCAAAAATAATATGTATTTACTACATTGAACAGAGATAAATGTAAGTACTACAATTCTTTCACTTAAAATAATTACTAATAATATATAAAATAAAAATGCAAGTACCTATTCAATAGAAACAATGATGTTAAATAATCAAGTTAATAAAAAAAGCACAATAGTTTTATTTAAAAAAAATATAACTCATTAATAACAGATAATAAAATATGAAAGATTAAACTTAAACGCTATATTATTTAATCTTAAATCAATATCTTTGGCGTTGATAATTCCCCTTTAAAATCATAGGACAACATTTTTACTCTTGTCCACTCACATCTTCAACACTTCCTCTACGTTTAACGTCTTTTTCTAGAAGAGAAGCATCCTCAACTGATGAAGAATTAGAATCATCTAAAAAAAATAATTAAATTAATATAAATTATAAATATTAAATCAATCTCTGAAGTACCATCATTTAATAAGTCATTGTCGAACATTTCTAGTTGTTTTTTACTATTAACATATTTTAAATATTCTTCTGAATGGATCAATTGATACCAGCTTATCATGACAATTAAAGCGATAAAAAATAAGTTTGTCGTAATACCTGAAAATGATAACATAATTTTAATCTAAAATCGTCAAGGCGAACTATCAAAGTTCCTTGTCAAAGGTCAAAAAAAATATAAGATAACTAAATTTAATTTTAAAGATAAAGATATTTCAGTTTTTAATTACCTATACAAGCAGAGAGAACTGGCCAGTTAAACATTATGTAACGAATTCCTGTAAATTTAGCATTTATTAAAAACTTTGCTGAATAAATCTCAACTTTTCTTGATTGAATTTCCACATAAATATCCGTAACAGCATTATTCTAAAAAGAAGTAAATTAATTTACATACATAATCATTTATTTATTTATTTAAATACTTCTATTTCTTCGTAATCTTCGTACAATTCAACAGCAACATCTTGTTTTTCTTCTAAACTACCCATCATTAAAAATGGACTCAACGCTACCGTATACAGAAACTCTAAGGTAGAACTTCGATAGTGTAACATTGTTGATCGGCAAGATCTTGAAATTAACTTTCTTTGTTTTCCACGAAAGTCAACACAGACCATAAACATACCTATTAAATATAAATAAATAATTATTATAAAAACAATTATTTGTATAACAAGAAAGGATTAATGGTAAAAAATTACCCAAATTTTTATTAGCAGGTGATTCAGGCATTTCTAAAACTAATTCCATTTTGTATGGTTGCCCCAACATTAAAAACTGTTGCCTTGTTGTAAGTTCAACATGAGCAGAAGGAAATGAACATAAACCACTCTCATATTCACAGGTACTTGTTAATAAATCAGAAATTAAGTAAGCACAATAAATATAAAAGAAGTAAAACCCAACTTACTCAAATTGAAGATGTACTGGTTTTTCGTAAGCTACTTTTGGTACATAGGCATAGTAAAAAGAAACGTACATAAGAATAGATAGCCATACTAATGCAGCAACTGTAACGGATACTAAGGTGCCTCGGAATATTGTCGTTCTTACTTGCTCTGCCCCCGACCTAGTCTTTGATTTAAATAATTCCACTGTGTGGTATGCAAAAGCGATTACTGGTAACTTGAGTTTTAACCTATAATATTCCCTGGGTGAACGAAATATACTCGTACTAATCATTTTAATCGAATGTAACACCGTAGTAACTTCATTTAAAAACCTAAACTACGACTAATTGAAACCGATTGGCAAATTGATATGGAATTTTAAAGTTCACAAGATTGACAGTATAATGAAGTTTGAGGTTATTGATTAGACAAGGGGACAACATAAAAAAAATATATTTCTTATTTGCTATTTATTAAAATTAAAATTAATTAATTAAAATTAATTTAAAAACATTAATGCGAATATAAAACGTATTTATTAGATTTATGTATCAATAATAAAAAAAATGTGTTTTTAAAATTATCGGTGTGAAGTTAGCGACAAATAAATTTAATTCAATTTAAATAAAATATTTACAACTACATTATTTATTTTTAATTTATATAAATAATGTTAATATACTGATGTATTAATAATATTATTTCTTAACAATTTAGATTCGAACAATTTAAGTTTCTTATTAGCGCCATCTTTTGCCTATAACACCAAGGTTGGGAAATCCGAATTTATTCGATCTTTATATGGTTAAAGTTTGGTAATTATTTCTTTTTCATTAAAATACAGTAATTTTTTTTATAAATTCACTTTTATTAATAAAAATAATATTTAATTTTAATATAATTTAAATCAACAACTTTTCCCGCTTCTTTTTCCTTCCTTCTGTCAATCGGGTGATCTAACCTTATTGTTTTAACAGCTGTTTTATTTATCTTAAGATTCAATAGATTTGGGAGGGGAAAGTGTGGTTAAAAAGAAAGTTTAAAATTGGACGGCGAATCCAAATATTTACATAAAATCCGTTATATACTTTTCACATTTTACAATCTTTGACCCAGATTGTTGAGAGAAAGCGAGTATTTGTGTCCATATTAACAGTTCTCTTAAAAAAATGACGAGCACTGGAGATATTTTAAAAAAGCAAAAAACTTGCATGCAAGTAGCAACAAATGTAGTAGAACAACAACATCATGTGTCGAGGGCTAAACGTGGCCAGATTTTGGGTCATCTAAGAGGATTTCGAGGTTGCACTGTGTGGTTTACTGGTCTTTCTGGAGCTGGGAAAACATCTATCGCTTTTGAATTAGAAGCGCAGTTAGTAGCGAAAGGTATTCCTGCTTATGGATTAGATGGTGATAATATGAGAACTGGCCTGAATAAAGATTTAGGCTTTTCCAAAAATGACCGAGAAGAAAACATAAGAAGAGTAGCCGAAGTAGCAAAGTTATTTGCTGATGCGGGTCAAATTTGTTTGTGTAGTTTTGTGTCTCCATTTGCAGAGGATCGAGATTTGGCTAGAAGAATACATTCCGATAGTGACTTAAGATTTTTTGAGGTATTCGTCGATACTCCACTTTCTGTATGCGAGGAAAGAGATACAAAAGGTTTATATGAAAAAGCTAGAAAAGGAATGATTAAAGGGTTTACTGGAATAGATCAAGCTTATGAAAAACCAGAACATCCCGATTTGGTTGTTAAAACTGTTGATTCCTCAGTTTATGAATCAACAATTCAAGTTATTGAGATGTTACAAGAAAATGGAATTATTCCTTTTGATACTGAAACAACAGACAGAATAGAAGAGTTATTTGTTTCTAATGATATGTTAAATGCTGCTTTCGAAGAGGCAGCTTCATTACCAAAATTAAATATTGGTACAATTGATTTACAGTGGGTTCAGGTAAATATATAAAATCATATTTTGTTTGGTATAATTTAAGAATTATCATGTGGCTTAAAAATCGAAATTTTTTTTTAAATCGACGGGAAATCACTCAAGTAACCAGTGACTTAAAAAAAAATCTAAAAATTACATTAAAGTTTCGACGTGACGTCACTTTTTGTGGCGTCATCGACCGTACTAACCATATACAGCGTGTTCATTAATTATTGTACCCAACGTCATCATTGCAAGTATGCAATCCAATACCAATACTGTGATATTGGTTGCATACTTGCAATGATAAAATCATATATAGTTCATTTTTTTTCTATAATACCTGTCAAATTGTTGTAAAGGTGGCAAAATTAACAGAGAGTTTTGTTTTATCATGTTTTGAAATAGATATGTCACACTGACGTTTGAGCTTTCGTTATTCAAAAAGAAAAGGTGCATAGAAAACGCTTTTACAATAAATATGTACTTCGTTAAAACCGTATTTATCTAAAAACTTATTAGTATTTTAACCTCAACTATTTAGTTATTGAAAATGTTACTAAAAATCAGGAAAACAACATAAATTTTATAAGGGTCCTAGATAATACCAACAGAAACCCTAAAAAATTTACATTGACAAGTATTATAGAAAAAACACGAACTATATATGCTGTCTCCTATATCGCTGACTCCCTATTTAAGCAATGAGAGGAAAACTTTTTAAAAAGTTTGAAGTATCGCGCGTATTTTATGCAGCTTTAAAATGCAATTAATGTAGATGGTTTACTTATAAATTATCATTGATGCATCAAATAAACTAGAATATATGTACTTTTGTGTGAAATTGAGGTTGAATAGTGCTTTAAATATCAACTTTATCTAGGCTGTTCATTATATTCTTTAAAATTAAATTAATGCATACATAGTAATTATTAAATATGTGTACCAAAATATAGTTATTAATTTTTAACATAATTTGTGAGCTTACGCTATTTAATGCAGTTGTGACGTTAATCAAAGATATAATAAAATTCATAAAATATGTGCTTAGGTACTTTTTTAACAAATAATAGTTACATTTTAAATTGCTTAGTCCTAAAATGTGTTAATAATTATGTTATTAAGTTATTATACACATGAAACCTATAATATACATAACTAAATATTTAGATTTTAGGTTATATTCATATGTCAAACGTTTATTTAGAAATTTTGTGATTTATAAACATCAAGGTCATCAGCTGCTATTAATTTTTAATTCTATCGTCCAATAAGATAATAGCGTACTCACCACGTGGTCACGCTTGAGTAGAATGGACATGACAGAGACAGATATATATATATATATCTGCACTCTAGTCTTGACACTCTTTTGCTGCCGCAGTATACAGGATGTGTCAAATGTCTGGAATATAGCCAATAACTTCGCCATTTGTGGTTTTAAAGAGAATTGTTTCAAATAAAAAATTCTTTATTAATTGTGGCGCATTTTTTGACGATACTTGCTTGTTTACATTGTTCTTTGTTTCGTTGCTATGGCAACCAACATTGTTATTTTAAATGGGATGCATATATTTTTTTTGCATACTTTTATAGAGGATAAGTCCCTCTATGCGATGAACACATCAAATCACATATAAGAAAAAAATCTAGAAAAAAATGCGTTTTTTTAAAGTCTTAAATCAGCTAATTACAATCAAAGTAGGCGCCGAAATAACGCCGTTGACAGCTTTAAATGTCAAAAAGCTGACAGTTTAAACAAATATGGCGCAATTCAGTAACAACTTTTGCTTGAAAAATTTTCCGAAATGTTTGCTATTTTTAATTTAAAATATAAATTTCTTAATTTCCCTCTGTACAGTACACAAAACGATGTAATTGCAAAATCACGGTTAAATTGTCTCAAATTAAAGCTACATCGTATTAAAATTTGAAATACTATTTCTTAGTGTTATTAATCACAGACTACTACCAGACGGCCAACTCCATTGTGAAAGCGAGATCCAATATATACCGGTCTCTCTCACTCATGTAACACTTATGTAGATGGCAGTGAGAAGCAAAAATGCAATTGGCGCCAAATTTAAATCTTTTATTTAATTTAAAATTTGAATACAGAAATATTTTTGATCTAATGTGCTTTTTGTGGATCTATTTAGCTTGCGTAAGCCAAAATAATTACAGCTTAATAGACCAATAAAAAGCACCTCAAATCAAAAAGTTATAATTTTATAATTTCAATGCAAAATAAAGAGAAATCCATTGGCGATTTAAAATTTTATATTTAAATTACAATATAATTACACTAAAAAACCCCTGTCCTCCTCTTCTCCGGGATGACCCTCACAGGTTGGGTTGGGTTGGCCGTTTTTGTCTGTGGTTTTCAATTGATAAAGTACATATAACAAAAAAGCATTATAACAAATAAATGTTGGTTATCAACCACCAACTGCTTCTTACCCTAAGTGACACGGTGTTATCAAAAATTTGAATACTTAATTTGAATACATTGAAATTAAAAATTGATATAATTAAAATACTAACCTATCCTTATTCTTGGGAAAACAAAATAATTTTCCAACTTCATCTTCGCTACATCCACACACAATGCAAAACATTTTTACAATAATTATTCGTACAAAATACAACGCAAAAATAGATAATAAGCACAAATAAGACAATAAACGCAAAAGGACTGTGTGACATACATAAAATGTCAAAACAGCTTAAACAAAGTCAACAGCTTTCTGTAATATTACTAACGACATGTACGCCATCTACTAAGGATTTCTATCAAGATGACAAAGAGAAAATATCGGTATTATGATGTGATAATAAGAGATAGAGAATGGCTTATCATTTTCCCGGTGAGCTAACTCTCTGCCTTACTCTGTGTTATTAATTATTAGTAACAATTTTTGATATCTCTACCAGATGGCGATAAGGTCTGACACAAAAAGTGATATTTTGAGGTTATCTCAATAATTATTGATTGAATCAATATCTTTTATTTGAAAAATTAATAATATTGATAATACCTTGGCATATTGATAATAATATTGACCGAGTAATGTGAAAAATTTTATTGACGGTAAATATTGATGGAGTATTGATAAAAATCCGGATTTTCTTATTTTCAAATTTGAATCAATACTGAAGATTGGAGGGGATATTGACAATACTATTGACCGTGTAGGGTTGGCGCCAATATTTCCATCAATACTCAGTGTAATAAACGCAACATTCAAAATTAAATACTTTTATTTAAATGTAAGGATAACAAAACATGTCTATCAACACACTGAAAAAACATATCTTATTTTAACCCAGATGATTTGAAAACAGGTTTAATTCTTATTTTCTACATTACACTCAATTCAATTCAAGCCGCGCACCTGTGAAGAAGTGGTGATAATGACCGACCCATTAATTGACGTTGTTGACGTTCAACATGATGGAGATACTATTGGTTCATCCAGTTGGTTCATGTCTTGTAGGACATATACATGTATAAAGGTTTCACAGGTTTCTATTACAGCTTTGCTGATATTGTTGAGGACATTATGACAGAAAATTTCAAGTTTGCAACATTTCTTTCTGTGGCCAAGTACCTCGGGGTTATGTCTAATCTTTCCCTAATACTTGTACTTTCTCTCATATTCCTATCCTGTCTTTTCAGAAATGGTTCAACCATCAGTAACAGTTTGTTAAAGGCACTTTCATCCATTCGAAAGTAGTTCTTGAAATCATCAACATCGCGGTGGCTGATTTCTTTCAACTCTTCTTCTTCAACCATTTATTCATCCAGTATTTGCGTATCTTTTATACGATTATTCATATTTGGAAGGGCTCTTTAGACGCACGGCTAAACCCGAAACTTTCTAGGTCTAGTGTTAGTTCTAGTTTTACACTAATGCTATCACTAGAACTAAGACAAAACCTAGAACTAGAATCATTCGGGTTTAGCCATCTTGAAAGACGTGCGGCTAAATCTGAATGTTATTGGTTTTCGGTCTAGTGTTAGTTCTAGTATTAACACAGAGTCTATTGATACACACTCTATCTAACGACAGGTACTCAGTCGTTATGCATCGAAATTTGACATTGATTTTGTGATTTTGTAATTATTGTTTATTTTTTACATTATTCTAGGTATTAAGTGAAGGTTGGGCACAACCATTAAAAGGATTTATGCGCGAAGATGAATTTCTCCAATCTCAACATTTTAATTGTTTCACAAAAACTGGAAATGAAACGATGAGCCAAAGTATCCCGATAGTTTTGGCAGTTACAAATGAAGATAAACAACGTTTGGAAGATTACTCAGCCATAACGTTAATGTACAAAGAGAAATATGTTGCAATAATGCGAAAACCCGAATTTTATTATCATCGGAAAGAAGAAAGAATCGCCCGACAATTTGGAACGATTAATACCGGTCATCCCACGATTAAAATCATTTCTGAATCTGGTGATTGGTTGGTTGGGGGGGACCTTGAAGTTCTTGAACGTATCCGTTGGAATGATGGTTTGGATGAGTACAGATTAACACCGAATGAGTTGCGCGCTAAATTTAATTTAATGGGTGCTGATGCTGTTTTTGCGTTTCAATTGAGAAATCCGATTCATAACGGTCATGCATTGCTTATGTCCGATACAAGAGCTCAATTACAAGAGAGGGGTTATCAAAAACCGGTTTTGTTGTTGCATCCATTGGGTGGTTGGGTTAAAGATGATGATGTACCTTTGGATGTTCGTATGTTACAACATCAAGCGGTTTTAGACGAGGGAGTATTAGATAAACGAACGACTGTGCTTGCGATTTTTCCAAGCCCTATGTTGTATGCAGGGCCTACTGAAGTTCAATGGCATGCTAAAGCTCGTATGAACGCTGGGGCTAATTTTTATATTGTTGGGAGAGATCCTGCAGGAGTTCCACATCCATTAGGTATAAAAATAAGATTTTATTACATTAAAAATTTAATTATAATTTGTATGTTTATTATTTAGGTACTGAAGGTTCTCCAGATGGTAATCTTTATGATGTAACACATGGAGCAAGGGTTTTAAAAATGGCTCCAGGATTATCATCCCTTGAAATAATTCCGTTTAGAGTAGCAGCTTATGATAAAAAATCTAAAAAGATGACGTTTTTCGATCCTCAACGCAAAGACGATTTTGATTTTATTTCTGGGACGAAAATGAGAAGATTAGCAAGAAATGGTGATAATCCTCCAGATGGTTTTATGGCCCCAAAAGCTTGGTCTGTTTTATCGAACTATTATCAAAGTTTAAACAAAGATGTTTATTAAACAAATATATCATGATGATAATTGGCTTTATAATTGAATTTAAATGGTTATTTATAATACCAGTTTGCATTTATGTATGTCAAAAGCCAATGGTTAAATTGATTTATTAACCAATAATTTTTAATCATATTTGTTGCCATTTTTAAAGAACATATTTATATTATTTTTTTATTTAGCTATATATACATATTTTATTTATATTGTAAATGTAATAATTTGTTAATATATTTGTAAATTTTTAATGTTTTGATGCCAGTGTTTAAATAAAAATTATATGTATTTGAGTGTGTTCATTCTTCTATTTAATTAACATGATATGCGATTAAGCCTATTTAAATGATGTCTTATCAATTTTTATATTGATGTATAAATATGAATGTACACCTTGGAAAATTTATCTTGGAGTTGCGCAGAAGAAAGATTGAAGGAAGTAATAAGCCCATAGATAAAGGACAAGTAATAAACCACAAATTTTTGTCGCATATTCAGCCATTCACTAGATAATAAAATCTGCAATGCATGATTAGAGATGAAAGAGAAAAATATCCTCCACTAGAAAATTCTCAGAGGTAGTTTTCTCATCGTGCATGGTGGCTCCCTCTGTCGGTCCTGACAAAATTCGGACGGTTCAGGAAGTTATTTTCTTACATTTTAGTTTTAGATGACGATGAAAAATGGTTGTGGATGATATATCAAAAATTAACTGACCCTCATCGAGTTCAACACTGTTGGGCTAAATTTGCCGAGCTGTATTTGTATTTTAAGCTTATTCTCAGAAAATTCTCAAAATCGAGAATATTCTCCTATTTTTTTTTTTGAGAATTTTCCATCTCTAAATATGACTAACGATTATGATAACTATTTTTATTATATTTCGTTTAAAGAAGAAAAAAAAATAACACATGGACGTATAATTTATTAATTTTAATTACACGTAATTTATACATTTAAGCGCCGTCTATTTAACAAATCACTTTTTATACACATTGTTACGTGTTTATCTTGACATTTTTTTTTGTTTGCAAAAGAATAAAAAACTATACATTTAAATACCACTCTCGTTCCATTAAGTCATCTTTATAATTATTTATTTATTCATTAAACGCTTACAATGGTTCTTCTTTTCTCGGAGAATAATACGAGTTAGTCCTTTTATTCGTTTCGTTTCTTTGTCGTTCACTCTACTCGTCTCTACATAACGTTCATTCTTTTATTATCAAAAATTTACTCATTAATATAATTAAAATAACTACGTGGGCACTTGCGAAGATCTTCTTTTGGCTACTTGAACTTGGATTTGGAACATTATAACCACTGGCGTAGGTCATATTCACCGTAAAGATCCCTTCAGATAATCCATTTGGAGATCTCACTATTAAAGTGTATTCTCCCACGTCATCGTTACTGACTTTACTCATATAAAGAACTGCTTGGTGACAATTTGGTGTTGAGATATTCTATGGGAATAAAAGCAACATTACTATAAGTTGTTTAAGGTGGTTTAATTTATTTACGGCTATATTGTAAGCTAAAATTCCATTTTCTGAATCGCCAGGAAAATATATGCGATTTTTAACGATCCAGAAAACCCTGTTGAATGGTGGATTGGCACAAAATTCCATCGAGAGTGTTAAGGGTTGTCCATAAACGGCAGTTAAAGTTTTATTTCCAGGGATTATTACAGGCCGTCCTAAAACAAATAAAACATACATTATTAATTAAAATCTTTAATTTTACATCATTTGTGTAGATTTATAGAATTAATAGAATAAAGGATCGTTTTTTTTTGATAGTAGAGAAGAAGCTTTCAGCATTCATTGAATTATATTTGTGTTTCAAATTGGCAAACATTTATAGACAAAACATTCAATTAGCAATGGAAATTCTATGTGCATGTCAATGATTTTGAGCAATTAAGGAAGCAGTTCATTTGAATACGCACTCCCCTATAACGTTATCTAAACAAGACTAATATATCAAAATCTTTCATCAAAGTAAAATTTTTTAAGATTACGTTTTAATATTTGTATAAAATTGGATGTTATGTAGAAAAAAGTGGGAGAAAAGTTAATTAACGAAGAAGATGCTGGTATAGTGAATAATTTTTTGGAGTTTCTTCTTTATTTACTTATTTAGATTGGTGAGCAACAACAAAACGAACCCAAGTTAACTGTACGAAGATGTGCACGATTATCAAGGAGTGAGCAATTTCAGGTTTAGTTGATGAGGATTGAAGATGCATGGCTAAACCCGAAATTTTATAGTTCTAGGTCTAGTGTTAGTTCTAGTTTTAATTGCTATTCAGTGCCAGATTGTTGTATTGCAATTTTCATCGATAATTTTCAAAATTCGCTATAAAATTAATTTCTTGAAGGATCCTTGTGGAAATATCACCAGTTATTAATTAAAGTATCCTCTTTTTAATACAACAAGCCGTTTTGAAAAATGACTTGTAGTTCTTGAGAAATAAATTTTTGAAATAATCGACAATTTTTTCGAATTTTGCAATTTTCGCCGATTAAGTTTTAAAAATTCGTATAAAATCCAATTCTTGGAATATGAGTACCAAAAGTTTATCCGGCTGAACTGGATGCCGAATATCCGGTATCCGGCTTTTCACAAAATCACTATCCGTTCCATCACTAATATATATTATAGGTTAGAAAATGTTAGTGTTCATTTTCATCCGAACATTTTACATTTGATTTTTCAAATATACGATGACCTGTCACCTTATGAAAAATTGTAGATGGAAGATGGGATGTAGAAGCCGGACGAAAACCCGTTCGTTCTTTTCTCCATTTGATATGACTATCGTAACTTATCTTCCATGCGAGAGAGTGTGTCCTCGAAATCGATATCCAATTTTTACGGGGTCTAATATGGAATTACGTTCGGGGAGAATCGCGTGAAAATTGCAGTGCAGGTGCTGCTTACCTCTTTGCCTCGAACGCAATCTCCATAACACCGAAATGACGCCGCTACAACGTTAAACCTATCGGTTGTGAGGATATAATTTTATACGAGATTTTAATATTGAAAACTTATTATAAATAAAATTTTATATTAGGAGTAGTTTTTTAAATAATATATATATCTATATGTATAAGTGGTCGTTTGTTAAAGTTAGTATTTGTTTTCCATATATTACCTCTTGAACGGAAAAGTCAATTGGGTGCAAAATTAAACAATACCAAGCTTAATTAAGTGGAAAAGGAAACGGATATTAAGGGCCACGAAGCGGGGATTGTTTGCCTTTTGGCCTCTCTTCCGGCCACCGACGGAGAGCGGCCGTGCTCCTGTTATTTGTGTTTATGTCGTTCTTGTTTTTTTCTTCTTTTTTTCATGGTCGCACTTGCGCAAGAATGAATAATTACGGGAAGCAGGAGCAGGGAGAACGCTATTGCCCGGAGAAGGTAATTAATTGCCTCGAGCCTGCGGTGACGTTAAAATATCGCATTATTTGTCAACTCTCCTCGGTTATGGGCTACGAGAAATTTTCATAAACTGACTATCTTTTGAATAGATGCGTACAAGATTTATAATCAAATTGATTTTAATTGCAAAAATCGGAAGATTTTCTTTGTGAAATATCAAAAATATTGTAGTGCTATATATATTTTATTCAAAGCACGTATTCAATTTCCGTCGTCTGCGTCGACAATCGTCGAAAGTATGTGTGACATGCACGGTTGGAACGTTTGCGTTGAAATCGATGCGCGTTTATTAAGTCTGGACAGTAAAAATTTTTTACATTTTTGCAAATTCATCCTATGCGTCGCATTTTTCAAACTTCGTACACGGCGTGTTTGTAGCACATTTATCTGCTATGTGGCATTCCTGAAATTTTTTTAACTAGTTAATTAAGACAATATTTGCACCAAAGATACTCTTTATACATTGTAATGCAAGTTGAAAATCCGTGATATTAAGTTACACAACCGGACTTTAAGCTGGTCATAAGAAGGGTTTTAGTGAGATTTAAAACTTTTGGTATTAATGGAGTCGTAACTGTTGACTCTTTAGCACCGCTCAATATAAAATGTCTGGTAAAAGTTTTCGTTCAACAACGGTCGTCCAGGTATATAATGAGTAAAAAAGAGTAGGTTGGTGAAGTTTCTAGAACACTCGCGGTATTATAGCTCCTTGTCGGCTGGATTTTTCTCCTCCACAAACCCTTTAAGCGACCTATTTCGAGTGAAGACATTGCAAACTTTTTTGATCGCTCTCCTTGTCCTCGTCAGTTAGAAAATGAACTTGTCGTTGGCTGAAATTCGATCATCTCCTGATTACCCTACTTTTCAGGTTAACGGTAAAAATTAAAATCTAAACGAAACAACAAAGCAGAAAAAGAAAAAAGGAAGTTGTGTTTGGAAACTTACTTAACAATTATGAGGTAATGAAAGCATCGCAACGAGCAACTCGGCTGCACAAGACAGCTAATTTAACCATCGCTAAATAGCTACAGAAATAACCTATTATAAAGTTATTTGATTAATTAATAATTCCATGAAAACGCAAGTCAAAAAAAAAATTATTAATGATTTGAGTTTGATGATGGTTTCATAAATTATTTTAAAATTTTCAACGAAGACTTAAAAACGGATGTAATGAATGCAAATGACGCTTCTCGCGTTCAAATTATCCGCTAACTTTGAAATTTTTAAAAGGCATTAGGAAAAGACCACCATAACGGAGTATAATCTTTATTGAAAATCTTCGCACTAACACTAAATTTGAGTTATTTGGATTTAGGGCAAACGGAGGCTTTGGCGCTATTCTTACCTATGCAAAAGTTAACGAGATTTTCGAGAACGCGACGATCCAATTTATATTTAAAATTCAGCTTCGTTCTAAATTAGAAGTATTATGTTACAATCAAATTGTAACTATAGTAAAATTTCGATTTAACGCATTAATACACGGAAGGGAGTGTCCGTTATAGCCAATAGTCTGTTATATTGAATGAATAATTTTAATGCACACAAATTCGAACAGCTATCCATAACGTTGCGTTCTTTATTAAGTAGTTCTAGCTCATAAAAAAACAACAATTTAGCGCTGAATTATAAATAAAACGAGCTAATACTAGCATTAGAAGTAATACTAGACCTAGAACTGTACAAAGTGACTGACTGCCAGATGTAGACCTTTTAAATTTTTATACCTAGTAACAATGTTAAAGATTCTATGGATGTGTTTGAGTCTACGGTGACTGAGGAGGAGGTAGAAGATGCCTTAAGAGCTATTTCTTCCAATGCTCAGGAAGCTGACCAGCTTTCTATATCTATGATAAACATATGTTCTCCCTTGATCATACATTTCATCAGACACATTTCTTCATTCTTTTGACGCAACTTCACAAAAGAGCCAGACTACTATGGTACCAAGAAAGAGAACGTATTATGTTATGGGTACCTTATTGTTGGGGTATAAGTCACCTCTAGTTGTCATCCGGTTTAAATATACCGTGAGGTTTTACACCCCATTGTAATACCCGGGCTAAACGAGTAGAAATTCTCCCCTGGCCTGCTCGCTCTCTGGATTTAAACCCGATCGAGCATGTGCGAGATATGATGGGTCTCTTTATGAGCGGTTTAATACAAGCAACAAACACTTTGCAGAAACTTCGTCGCCATCTACAGCAAGTCTGGGATGAGATTCCACAAGATTCCATTGACCATCTCATTCAGAGCTTGCCTCACAAAGTTAGACAATGCATAAACAACTGTGAGGATTAACATTATATTGACATAAATAGTTGGTATTTATTTTTTCAATTGTTATGATTTACTACTGGAATAAATACAAATTTTTTGGCACGTAGTTTATATTGTCCGTTGTTTCACTGTATTTAAAATTTTATTTGGTTATTAGTTTTATATACGATATTGTTAACTAAACTAAATAATCGATTATAATTAAACGCATTGATATTCATAGGAATTTAGTGCCTAAACCAAAGAGTTTTAATTATATTTTTTACCGATGGAAAATTGTATGGCAATACGCGATGTAATTCAATTACGCCCTTTCCAGTTGAACTTATACCGCGAAAACAATAACGATGTCACGAAACAAAGCGTGTTTATGCAGGCAAATTTGATTATATTCGTAGTGGCACTGAAAATTTTCAATCCCACTCTCATTTGGTTGCCCTTTATGTTTGGATGGTCATATTTCATGATGTAAACTATGCACGTTCGGTCATAAACGAGAATGTTCATCAAAATGTAAATTTTTAATATTAACCATCTACTCTTTCATTTCTTGCCTCTATTACCTCATTCGATCATTTCATAACGAAAATAATTGGTGTTTGCATATTATCGTTTGGGTAAATATTGATCGAATAGTAAAATGAATTACTTTACGTTTTAAATGCTTATGATGTTATAATTATAACAGCAATGGATACGTTGGGAGGTGTAGAAAATGTAGTAAATTTTGGGAGTGTTGCTCTTTCGGTTTATCAGCATCTGTTTATGTGGTTATAATTTCTCGGGGATTGTAACACAGTTTATTGTGACTATAATTTATTGGAATGGAGCAGACCGTTGTACCCATACTTGCGTTTTTGCGGTACTAGATGAATTTGTTGTGCACAAAACTTCGCTGGTTGCTAAAAATATCAGAAATAAATAATTCCATTTATAGTTTGATTAAAAGTGAACAATAAATTGTAAGAAA